GACAGCTGCGATCTGCTGTGCTGCAGTCGGGGCCACAAGCATCGTGTGGTTACCGAGTGGACCAACTGCAACTGCGTCTTCAAATGGTGCTGTGAGGTGACGTGCGAGAAGTGCCTGGAGCATCGCGAGGTCAACACCTGCCTGTAGATGGGGCCCTGGCTTCGCCGAGGGGGGACGGGGTTCGGGTATTTGGGATTTCGATTTCGGCATAGTCATGAACATATTTGAAAGCTTTCCATTTCGCGTGATAAACAACAGTTTGAAACACACAACGTTTTGCTGCAGTCCACAATTAAGTATTAACTAACACTAGAGAGTAAAAAACACACAGTAAACGAGTTGATTTTAGCCAGGCTCTAGGCCATTCTAGCTGTAAAAACTACTTACGTGTCCTCAATTGCATGAACCATGTAAGTTTGTAAATAGTCTAAATAAAAAGCAAAAAAAAATAAACTAACTTTCTTGACTACTTTCAACTAGAGATGAGCGCGTGTCGCATAACATAAAATATTACACGAATAAAATAACAAATAAGGCATATTCAAAAATATAATTTGTAATATAAAACAATTTATTTTTTTCGTTAAATATTAGCTGAAATAATTCCTTTACATATTCGAATATTTAATCTCATTTTATTACTATTCTATAACCCAAAAACGGCTCGTGGTTTGTCACGGGAGCTGTTTTCATCTCTGGAGGCAGTCAGTTTAGTAGATTTCAATTAATTGCAACAAATTGAATATCAAAGCAGGTAAAATGAAATAAACTTTGGATTTATGCTAAACGGAAATGTATCTCAAATCGCTTTGCCCATTGATAGAAATCTGCATAAATGATTAAACGTAATTTAATGAAGACAGCAGCAAAAACCGATTGAAAAACAAGTTGAGCTTTGATAGCTGTAGCTGTATCTTCATATGTATCTACAGCTGTATCTGTAGCTGTATCTGTAGCTGTAGCTGTATCTATCTATCAGCAGGCATTGTCAACTAACAGTAGCGCGTATCTGTATCTGTAAGCTACGGATACAAAGCAGACCAATGACTTTCCCATAAATTAACACAATTTTATTGTTGTCGACACGAGATTAAAATCTACTGAAATTTGCCTAAACAACACAAATAATCGCATCCGAACAAAACTGAAAATTGATTTGCCATTATGCATAAATTATCGTCCGATTGTTGGATCTTTGATTTGAATGCATAATTTCAAAAATCAAATAGATGTCGGTATAATGCATGCAATTAAAACATGCAGCGATTTCATTAACGTGCCCAATGAATCTTGTTTGCTTCTTAACAAAACTAAAGAAGCTTACACCAATACAACGTTTCATGAAAAGTTCACTCTCAAAAGCTTATGAATGAAAAGTTTGAGATAAGTAGAAATTATTCTTAAGAATATTATTCACAGAATAGTCAACTTGATGTGCTTTAGTTGTACTTTAGATGAGGTTTTCATGTTTATTATAAGTACATATGAGTTAATATATAGATTTATTATTATCTATAAATAATATTAGCCGCCAGAATAAAAGGCGAAAACCAAACCAATTTTTATGTAGAGCAGCTGATTAGTTTTCTTTCGATAAGATGCTACAACTCATGCATATTAAATGTCTGGCAGCGCTTTCGAAGCACACACAAAACTACACACACCCAAAAGCAATCGCTATAAACCGAGCCCAAAACTATTTCCACCGGATAATCTCAGCTTAGCATCCTCGGCAATCTTGGCTTAAGTTTGATATTCAAAGAACGCAATGAGATGCCCCAAGCAGATGCCCAACATGCCCGAATTCCATTCCATTTGCCTACTGACTGGGCCAGGTCAATCTCAGAGAAAACAAGCCCATGCCAGCGATAAGATACAACAACAGCAACAGCAGCAGCCACAAGCATCAGCATCAGCAGCAGCAGCAGCAGCAACATCTTCGGCTCTACAGCAACAACTAATTAACAATCGCATTCATTTTATTTATCGTACAAATGCAAACCGCTTGACTTCCAAAACTGTATCTGCATGCATTTATAAGGCTCGAATGGGATCTGTTCCGAGTTGAGTCTGCGGCTCTGTGGGTCTGAGCCAATGGCACCGATGGGACAGATGGACAAATGGACAGATCGACGATCGACGATCGCATCGGGCCCGTACACTTGACTGAACAAAATGTATGGTGAGATACTCGTCCCTGGGGCCCGCTACAGATACACAGATTCAGTGGCTTTATCTTGGGCGCGTTAATGAGATTTGCTTGTATCTGGAGCCATTCGGTAGATGCATATCAGTGGGTTTCAATTAATTGTGGCGACGCTTATTAGTCATCCATCTAACAAACTAAACTGGCGCTGGCGCTCTGAAAATCTCACCAGCTCTCTATATATTTATATATATGCATATATAAGTTTCTCAGTCAGCTAGTGTTATGCCAATGACCCCAAAACTGACCTTGGCCAGTTGGTAAATGGTCCCTCTGCCACGCTCTCTCTTCAGTTGTTCCTGCTCAGCTGGCTTATAAATGTGCATTTTATGTTAATAAAAAATGCATTTTTATGTCGTTTCGTAGATCAAAGTTCTTTTTGGCGGCCTTTTTTGTTTCAAGTGGCGCTTAAAATGGCGCCAGATTTAACCCAAAATATAGCCAAAACTTTCCCATAATGGCTTAATTTGTAAACTGTTACACCTACTGCACTGATGCGGAGGACTGCCTATGTCCAGCTATCAGAGACGCTGATCACTGCAAACAATTTTAGCCAAATTGCAGTCAAAGTCCACTGGGACAGAGAGAAAGAGGGAAAGAGAGAGAGCGAGGGAGAGAGAGAGAGAGACGAGATCCTCAGACGGGGCGCTTAAAGAACAACTATTAAGACCGCTCGAGCGACGTCTCCCGGTTCGGGGCCGGAGAAACAAAACCTGAAACATGAAATTCCTGCGTAATTTGTAAGGAAAGGCGTGAAGAACACCAACGAAGGCAACACCTTAATTAATGTTATTAAAATGGAACGAACAGCCGACGGACCAGCGTTTGGACCTGGACCTCAAACTCCAACTGAAACTCAAACGCAAACTAAAATCGAGCTCCAGACCTGAGACTGAAAACCCAATGGACTGCAGGTCCAGGCGCAAAAAAAAAAAAAGGAGAAATATAAAAAAAGAAGGCAGACACACACTTACACACACACAGAGAAGAATGTGGCAAAAGGGAAAAAGGTTCGGACCCGGTCCGCTTAATCGGTTCTTTTTGGGTTGGTTGGCTTCTCTGCTCGCTCACTCCTCAATCGCTTTGGCCATGCACGTTCCGGTCGGTCGGTCGGTCGGTCGGTCGGTCGGAATGGGTATGGGAAATGACCTGTTGTCTTTATTTGGGGCTTGGCGTGAACTAAACGTTTGGTAAAAGTTTATTGGAAAGTGGCCAAAACTGTTGCATTTGCCCAGCCCACTTGCGACTATAATTTCTTAGCTATTACAGAACTCTCGCGTAATACGTAGGCAAATTAAAAGAAAAACGAATGTCAATGCAATACAATTAAGTTAAAACCTCATTTCTAATCAGTCGGTTTTAAGCATATTGTAATATATATAATATAATCGAATATCCAGTTACACGCAAGATTTCCAGATTCCAGATCAAAGAAAAGCTCACAGCCAGGTTGACATAATTCCATAGAATCAGCTGATGATGATCCTTAAATATGCCTTAATATAGTTATTCTGCTTATGTTTCTTAATTACACCTGCAGAACTATATGACTTATATCTTTAACATACGTTTGGCAATAGTATGTTAAAAGATAACGAAGACTTCTCCGACCAGATAAAAAATATGTTTAAAATTGAAACTTTACGTATACCAACCATATATATAGCTCAAGTATTTGTTCCCCCTTTTTTCAAAGACCCTCTCTGCTTATCCTAGTATGATAAACATCGATTTACAAACCCATTTCCTTTTAGTGACAACTTGATACTTTCCTAAATCAAATACTGCTGTTTTGGAGAAACCTTTTATTTGGGTCTCTTAACAGGTGCTTAGTTTGTGCTTATATATAAGTACTGATAATTTCGGAATACAAATATTCACTCTATAGCATACATCAGACACGCTTCAAGAGGCAATCGCAGATGTTTTCTGTGAGCTGCTGCTGTTGCTTGCCAGCATTCTAAGCCGCCAACCGATTTATCATTGGGCACAGAGCGTTGAGCGCTGACTACTTGACATATTCATTAAATTTGCCACATTGTTGTAGGGACAGACAGGACAGAACGAAGACCAAAGAGTCTGGAGAGATGGTCATCATTTTGACACCTTAATGCGGTAATTAGGGTTTTCTCAGCATTAAGTCAGACAGCGGTAACACCCGGGCCATGCCCTCGCCCTCGCCCTCGTCCCGGCAACAGACCATCCTTAAAAGCCGATCATCATGAGCAAATATTAACACAGCGCAAAGACCAAAGGCGATAGCATCGACAAAAAACAGAATCCAAAACTTAGGAGCGCAATGGGCTATGGCCCATGGCCAGTGGGCAATGTCCAATGGGCTCTGGACAAATGGACAACGCCTGTGTTGTGCCGTTAACGGTTTACGCCGAATTGGCTTAAATTATTAAAAGATTACAGCCAAAGATCATCAACGCCAGCATGCCCGGCGATCTCTCAGCCATGAGATCCTTGCGATTTGGGTGTGAAGATTATGACACAGCACAAAGTAAAACACCAGCTCGCAATGCGGCAAGGGCGTCAAAGGCCCGGGTCAGAGCCGGGTCCCGCAGGGCGTGGGGCAGGGACAGGGGCAGGGTCAGGGGCAAGGGGCAATGGCTCCGATGAGCAGCAGGCGCTGCAATTAATTTCAAATTTTTTAACATCTCACAATGCGCACGAATAAAGAAACAAACGCAGCAGCAGTCGCCGCAGACAGCTGGGCAAACGAAAGAGATCCAAACGGAGCGAGAAGCAGACAGAGAGAGAGAGAGAGAGAGAGAGAGAAACAGTGAGTGAGGGAGGGAGGGACAGAGAATTGAAGAGAGAAATTGCAGACAAATTAAGATAAATGAATTGTTTAATTGTTGCATGTGGTTTTCATCTTGTTGTGGAGCTGCTAATTTACCTTGTAAAGGTAAATGCGAAAAGACTTACAGAAAAAATCACATGTGAAATGTATGTATATATATATATTTATATATATGTATATGATATGCATTATCTTATACTAAACGTAGAACAAGGTTATTTTCCCGTTGCGCTGCTAGTTCAAAAGAAACGTCATTTTATAGTCTGCCCTACTGTGCGATTCTCGTGAGTTCAAGTAAGCCTTGCATCGCTCTTGCTTTATTAAAAGTGTTATAATTATAATAAATATCAGGTTTGTGGATTATATATTTATGTAGGTATGTACAAGTATGAGTTTCCTTATGTATGTATTAATGTTTGTACGTGTAAGCCAAGCCTCGTGCAAATCTGATGAGATTTGACCAAGTTATGGAGTTGGGAAATGTTGACCTATGTGTATGTATGTATGTGGGTGTGAATGTGTGTGTGCATGTGTGTATGTGTGTATGTGTGTGTGTGTGTGTGTGTGTGTGTGTGTGTGTGTATGTATGTGCGTCGACATATATGTATGTATGCATATAAATTGTATTACAAAATACCAATAGCAGACCAAATTGTCTTGCTGAGTGGCAAATCTAAATAAGAATTTATTTATTAAAGCTGCCCTCCTCCTCGATTCTCAAAAATTTAAGTAAGGTCTGCAGGCTCCCCTATAAATTAGGCCCAGGCGGCTTCAATGCTGGAAGCTGAGGAGCCGGCGCAGCAGGGCGGTGGACCAGGAGGAGGACCACTAAGGAGGCGGAGCAGGAGGCGTATTTATGTAGGTATGTAGGTCTGTAGATATGTAGAAATGTAGGTATGTAGGTATGTAGATATGTAGATATGTAGATATGTAGGTATATAGGTATGTAGGTATGTAGGTACGTAGGTACGTATGTACGTATGTACGTATGTATGTATGTATGTATGTATGTATGTATGTATGTATGTATGTATGTATGTATGTATGTATGTATGTATGTATGTATGTATGTATGTATGTATGTATGTATGTATGTATGTATGTATGTATGTATGTATGTATGTATGTATGTATGTATGTATGTATGTATGTATGTATGTATGTATGTATGTATGTATGTATGTATGTATGTATGTATGTATGTATGTATGTATGTATGTATGTATGTATGTATGTATGCATGTATGTATGTATGTATGTATGTATGTATGTAGGTATGTATGTATGTATGTATGTATGTATGTATGTATGTATGTGTGTATGTATGTATGTAGTTATGTATGTATATATGTATGTATGTATGTGTACGTATTTATTTTCACATGCATTTCAAGAAGAATTATATTGCCAGACCATGGCCGTGGCAGGTTTAAAATAAATTATTTTCAAGATCTTTGAAAATTCGTTTTTTCGTTTCTTTCTAGCTAACGCCACTACTCGATGTCTACCTCGTTGATTCTTTTGTGGTGTGAATATATCAAAGTCGGTCTCAGGTGACATTAAAGTGTGCTTTGTAAAAGTCCATATTTAAATCTAATCACATGTTTTTATATAGATAAAACTAAAAGGATATGTTAAGGCAATTCTGATCAACTTACCAACAAAACTTATGCTGATGCGTGTGCAGTGTTGACCATCAACTAGGCGCTTGACAGTTGGCCATACTGAGAGGAAGGCTTACAATTAATTTGCGCTCAGCTTGAAATGCTATTAGATGCGCATTAACACCCATATATATATGTATATACCAACTGCTAAGACTGACTCATCAATCAACGTCCTGATGTCTAAATAATGCAACACAAACACAAAAGGCAACGTCTGTCTGTCTGGCCTGCCACAAACGACTACCGCACTAATTAATACTGCCGCCCTGGCTGACTGATTCGTGTTGCAGCCAAACACACACACACACACACACACACACACACACACACACGCATACATACATACAGGCAATAAGAAGAAGAACAAGAGCACCATTCTAAGCTAAATAAAGTTATTAAGCTGCCAAGGGCCAGAAGGGAAATGTTGCCAAAAAAAAAAAAAAAAAAACAGAAATACGCAAAAGAGGCAAAACAAAAAATGAAATGAAACAAAACGAAAGAGCCCAAAACGCAGCATGTGTTAAAATTATATAGAGAGTGCGTGTGCGCAGCGGACCCCCCTAATGGAGGACGCAGACCCACAGGGATGGGCACACGGACACGAGCAGTTCGCCAGAGTTAATAAAAAACACATAATTGCGTATGTTTGGACCAGCCACATACGTTTCGTGCCGACCGCAAGCACCAGATCCCCACTCCCCCTCCCGTTCAAGATACACGATTCCGCTACGTTACTGCCCACACTCCAACTGCTCTGCTGTACCCGACCCGCGTCCTGCGTCAATCCCAGCATCCTCCAGCCCGCCGCGTGCTCAAGTGCGAAGTTCTGCGCAAACGCCAAGCGCCTGTGAAAATATGATTTTTGTTGCCATTTCGTGTTTTGCCACTTTGGAGGTCTTCATCATTTTTGCGTTGCCCCTCTCTCTCTCTCTCTCTGTTTTTTTTTTTTTTTGTGTTTCCATAAAACTGACCCCATGGGCAGTGAAATTAAGTTGATTTTTAATGCAGTCTTGATGGGTAGCCAGCAAGGTGGTTCCGCGGAGCTTACAAGACAGCCAAACTTTTCAGATTGTGAAATGTACAACCAAAAATGGGCTGTGATCAGAAAAAGGTTATTTTAGCGGCTGGCTGCAAACCCAAAAAAAGATTCGTTGGCTCGGTTCGGTTCTCCACATCTGTGGTTCTGGTTTGAGATTTGATTCTTCAATTTTTTTTTTCAATTTTTAAGAGAAATTTGAACTATAATTAATTCTTAATTATTAATTGACATTTTAGCGCACTTTCAGAAGCTTAAAAGTTATGCAAATATATAATAGGAGCGAAAAATATGTTTGCTTCAGGTTCGTCTGTTCTTTATCCAACTAATCCGATTCCTTGTAATTGGAAATGGATTGCCTAAACCAGTTTACAATCTTGTCTAAAATAAAGTATTTTCTATGGAGCTCGATTTCTATTTCTATAGCCAAAGACTATTTGATCTAGCTGATAATCCAAGAGCAATGTGTAAGGTTTAATTTTTATTGAAATTGATTTGCATAGAGGCACTTTATATTTATTTATATTTTGTTAAGCATTCTTAAACAATTAGGTGGCAATATAACTTCTTTAATTTGTCGAAACACAAAATTCTCTGGACTAAAAGTTAAAGTTATGATATTTATATACATATTCTCAACCTATTATAAAGTTACGTTAAATTCTATTCATATTGAAGGCAATTGAACATACCTTCTGAGCTCCTCCTTTATGATCCAGTATTATTAGCTGAAATGCCTTTCAAATATGCCCGAACCCACGGCTTGCATACCGGCTGCTCATCTCTTGTCCAAAACTATCCAATACTTCCGCGCTTGCTCGCTGCCCACGTACCCAGAACGTTGCCATAATAAATTTCAACTTGTCTACACCTATTTTTACAAACATTTAAAAATTATTACACTGACTTTTTCATTATGCTGCGAAACAGACCAGGCCAGAGCAAAGCAGAGCAGGGCAGAGCTGATCGGGCCATTCCAGGCCAGACCGGAGACCCGTTGTCCAGACTCGGACCTCGTCCCGGCCATCCAAGCGGCCGGCCTGATGACCTTAAATTAAATGTGCAGCACATGAATTATGTAAGCTGTTTAATAAAGTGATTCCATTTGCATGCAAGAGCCCCGCACGCATGCGCAGCGGGCAGTCCCCCAGTGCCGATGGACCCGCCGTTGGACCCGAGCCCAACAACTTACTAACAGAACTGGGCCCCGAGGAGCGAAGGCAGGACGCAGCGCGCGCTGATTGTCGCTTAATAAAAATGGTTATTGTGTTTCTCTGGGCTTTGGCCAGAAGGAAGAGCAGAGGAGCACGTGGACGCGGATGGTCGGCAGTGAGCGGGGCCAGCTGTGCAGATTGGCTGTGCAGCGGCTATTTATGTGTGGCTTTTGTAAGAATTATTAATGTAAATCTTTCATAATTTTCTTAAGCTGTGCGCGTGCGCATCCCATGAGGGGTACGTTTGTGGCTGCGGGGTTGCGGGGAGAACGCACAGGGCCCGGGGAACTGGACGACGGCATTTACAATGATTTATGGCGCCATCTGGCATGACTGTGTGGCATCCTGTGCGCAAAGCTTTAAAGCTCTGGCGGCAACACGTGCACAGCTTTAAGCTTAAAGCTCACGCATGCTCTGTCTCTTTCGTACACGCGCGTTCATTCAACGTTTTTAGCTCCACCCACACAAAGCGCGTTCATTTTGTGTTTGCTGACGCATGCGCCGTGCCCAAAAGGGGGATGCGAACAAAATGAAGTTCCAAGGAAGCCAAACGCACACAAATGCGTGCGTGTAAGAGTGTGTGTGTGCGATTACAACAACAATTGCCGCAGGCCAAAACATACACACAACTGATTGCAGCTGACAGCAAATCAAAGCCACTGCCACGTTGCTGGGTCGCGAGGCGAGTTGATGTTGCTGCCACAACAACTGGGCGCCATATGGTGGGGCAGCCCAATTGCTCCAATGAGAACGGGCCAGAGGAGAGCTCCTTGTCGCCAGGGCAATGGCAATGGCCATGGCAATGGCATGCCAAAATGTGCACCAACTGTTGCCGCCAGCTGCAACTTGTTGGTGGCTTTCTGCCTGCTGCATTCGTCATCTGCAGCAGCGCCACATCAACGTCATAAACAACGAGCCACAGCAAACAGCAGCAGCAGCAACAACAACGGCAAAGCTACAACTCCATCTGCAGCTCCTGACTCCACTTCTTCTGGTTGGCTGGCAGCCACCAATAGCCCAAGATGGCCGCTTGAGCCAACGACTGCTGTGCAGTTGAACTTTCATTTTGACGATGATGTGCACCGCACACATAGGGTTGCAGGCTTAACTGTGATTTTTCACAGTACTGTGACTTTAGACAATACATTGGCAGGCTATATACGTATACGTATATTAAAGAATTTATTGCATTTAGGAAAATTTAATTTGCCTTGACCTTTCAGTTAAACTTTCATTTTGACGATGATGTGCACCTCACACATAGGGTTGCAGGCTTAACTGTGATTTTTCACAGTACTGTGACTTTAGACAATTGATAGACTGTATATGTGTACATATATAAATAGGAAAATGTAATTTGCCTTGACATTCTGAGAAAGAGAGTTGCAGCGGAAAATATTAGGAAAATAGTGAATCATGGTTAGATGTAGTAAAACTGTGAATGATGCAATCGTGTTGTCATAATGTGGATTCTCAGGAGCTTTCTGAGCTGTTATTATAATTATATGCTAAGTCAATCTAAGGTGCTTTTATTGTGCAGTCCACAGATTTTGCAAACTGCAAAATGGTATTCTCTTCTATTTGGATGATTCACCACGAAAGGTTTCGAAAACTTGTAATTGTGCTAACACACTTTTCCAGTAGCCCATCTGTTTTCAGTTAAACATTTCAAGCACCAGTATTATGATTCACTTTCACATATAGAAAAAACAAATAATAGTATGAAGAACGCATTTTGAAATACAGCTATGACACATTTTCATCAAATAATGAGATGATTCAAACAATTCAAAGCAAATCGTCGATTGTTCATCTTGTTCATCATGATGTCCCAACTAATCTCTCAGGAAATATAAAGCTGATATAAAAATAAAGGGGGAGAGCTTGTGTGTTAACATCACTTTTAATATCAAGCAATTTAACAATCCAAGTATTTGAGTATAAACTAAATTGATATTAGTATATTCATAATTTACTGTGAGATCTCAGGTATGAAGCTTTTCACAGATAAATATTACTGTGATGTTTCACAAATGTGCTCTGATAAGCCAGCTGAGCTCTTTTGATGCCTGTAAATTGGTGTATTATAAAAAAAAAATAGCAAAATGAATTAAATTCCGTGAAAAGTTCGTTCGTTTTGCCTATTACAAATTCACAGCTAGCAGTGCAGAAAATGTTTTGTCCAGCCCTCAAATGTTTTTGAGTTCTTTGCAGAATTTTGCGTTTGCGCTATGTGCGTGCTGTGGCTTGTAAACCACTTGAAACAATTTTTAATTGTAATTTGCGCAAAGCAACGCCCTAACCAGCACCCACCGCCGCCCCAAAACTTGCCAGAGATAGCCGAGTGAGCTGGGCTGGAGTGCTGCTTGCATAGTTTAGACCGGAGGCATTGCTGGGATGCCAGCCGCGGCTGCGACGTTGCCTGGAATTTTCATAGAATGGCGCGTCCGGCATGCAGACGCTTTGTGCCAACAGCTGGGCGAGATTTGTAGGTGGGCCAACGGCAAAACGGCGACGACTCAAGGCAGCAGCCGCAGCATCAGAAGCCTCTTTAATGCACAGGCGCAGACGCTTTAAATTTTGGCCAGCCAGTTAGCCAGTTAGCCAGCGAGGCTGTCCAGCCGTTCAAGCGACCTGGCCAAGTGCAATTAAAAATGAAAAATTTTCCCACACATTCGGTCAACTGTTGACTGGTCAGCGACGATAAGAGGACAGAGACAGTGAAAGAGACAGAGAGGCAGTGCGCCCTGCCCCAGCCCGATCCGAGCCCATGCCAAACAACCCATACTAACATATAGCATCACAGGGCAGTACGAACGCTGCACTGATTTCTTTTTCATGTCAGAGCAATGCAAACTGCGTGCACTGATTGGAGGCCAGCGGAATTTTTCCCATACACACACACAAGGCAGCGGAACGGGGCTCGAATCGGGCCTCGAATCGGGCCTCGAATCGGGCCTGGTAGCCCTTTAGCTTTAAGTTTGGCTTTAACTTTGGCCTTACCTTGTGCCACTTTGGCCAGTGGAATGCGTCGAGTTATGTTTGTTATGTCGTATGTCGGTTGTGCTGGGCTCGAGCGGGGGCAAGCGGGGAGGGGCCTCGCCTTGGAAATTACTTTGATTAATTTTCGCTTAATTTTTATTTTTATTTTTATTTCTTACTTGCGCAAAATATTTCAGCGCAAAATTTGCGTCATTTTGAAATGTTTGTCGGGATTTATGAACGTCGTCTCTGAGTTAATTAAATTCAACAGCAGCAACAACAAAAAACCGAAAATTAACTAAATTATGGGGTCTCTTTCTGTCTCTCTCTCTCTCTCTCTCGCTCCATATATATTGCTCTGTCTCACTCTGGCTGGCTTTCCTTTTCAATGTGTGTAACCCTGGGCAACGCCATTAAAATTTTGTTTTTTTCTTGAATTTTTCCTTTTAATGAGCACAAATTGTTTTGGACTCGAAGGCGCACCTGCAAATATCAGTGCAAGAGCTTTAAAAACTACGAAAATCAATGAAAATCTATGCAAAATTGTGGTAAAAATCATGTCTGTACGGGCGTGGGAATTGACATATAATGAAAATCATTAAGACAAATCTTTTGTAATATCTATCAACTAATGGGCACAACAAGGCCAGACAACCCTCAACCCCTGGCACTAATTGCGTGTACAATAAAAAATAAATGTCACGAAGTAGTCGATTGTACAAATACCCAAACCCAGGAGTAGAACTGACTGTCTGTATGAATGTGTTCAAAAATAATTTAGATAGAAGACATGGAACATCTCCCATTCAAAAAACGGTAAGCTTTTATTAAATTACAATCTTAAGATAATTACAAATTTTTCTTTTCAATTATGCGCCTATAGCTAATATACCCTTAAATACCCTTTTGGACGCGGGCATAAATACAGCTGAAACAAAAGCAACCCCCAATTGTTAGGGACTTAAACCAACTGAGATATCAACACTTGCCCTGCGCAAAAATATGTTAATATCTGTGAAATTGATCTGATTTTAATTTCAATGGCAGCCCCTACCCCTGGGCTTGCCGAGAGCTGGGAATCCCTTACAGTTCACTGAACATTTTTCATGCCCAGCAATAACAAGGGCAACCCCTTTGCGATTACAGTTCCAATGCCAGTTCCATTTTCAGCTGTCTGGGCTTGTTGTTGGTTAATCCTTTTGGTAATTTATGCGCACTCCTCTTGCTGCCACTTACCAAACTAATCATCATGCTGCTGTCTACTCCTCCCGCCATGTCACGTGGCCGTGTCCGTCCTTTCCATCCGCTATCATTATTCCTGTGGTTGTTGTTCCTCCTGCTGCTGCTGCTGCTGCCGCTGCTGCTTGTCGTGGTTGTATTGTTTATTGTGACAATTCTTGTCAACAGCGCAGCAAATGTCAACGGCACATTGATGGATGTGCCGCCAGCCAGAGCCATAGCCAGAGCCAGTAGAGAGCCTCAAGCTGAAGCCCCTGCCTCAGCCTCAGCCTCAGCCGCAGGCACAGCCACAGCCACAGCCAGGTGATGGTGATTCATGGCAATTGCATGCGGTAAAGAGATGCTCAAATTTGTTGTTGTTGCGGTTGCTGTTGTTGTGGTCAGCGCTCAGAGAGTGTGGGCCTCTGTCAGTGCCTGGGAAGAGATTCTGGTTTCATTCGTTAGCTGATGTGTTTAATGAGAGCTAACTGGCCAAAATATGATTTGAAGTCTATCATTTATTGCGAAAATCATGTTCTTCTACGAGCTGACAATCTGATTAATAATAATGCTGCTTAATTCATTGAATTACAATAACTTGGCAACATTATTTTATACCTTTCTGTTAAGTGTAACATAACAACCCTGTTAAAATATGAACAGAAAAGAACTTAGCATTCATATTTAATTTGCCTTGACACATCAAATAACAGCCTCGTAAAACCAAAAAATCTGTAAAGTCAATTTTAAAATGTTGATTAGAACAAATATTAATTACTACACAAAAGCTGTTTGAAAGATAGTTAAAGGTATTCTTAAAATAATATGACGTTCCTGCTAGAACAGGAAAATTCTTGTCTTGAAGCTCAATTTAATTTATAATTCAATTAATAATAATTAACTATAATGTTAATCAAGCTTCAAACGGAATATTAACAGGGTATGTTAAGTTTCATGTTAAGATATGTTAACTAAAAGCAATAATTTCCTTAAGTGTATGTAACAAAAAGTAGGTGCCATTTCCACTTAACGATAAGCAGCACATATGTTATGCTGCAGGAGATGTTGCATGGCTTGCTGCCACAATTTGTAGCCCAACCAGCTGGCAACAAGTGTTACTTGGCCGCAGTCGCATCCTTTGAAGTGTAACAAGTAGCAAGCGAAAAGTCAAAGAGGGTTAAGTTCACACACTCGCCGCCATGCCCACACACACACATGCACATACGGGCACACACAGGCGACCCACATTCGAGGTCCTTTCGCTACTTAGCTTTTGCTCTGAGAAACTAGGAAGTAGACGCGAATCAATTGCCTTATTCTCGGCACTTTGTCGTTGTAAGGTCAACCCTTTCTTCCAACCACCCGCGCCCCCTCCTCGACCCATTGTCAGCCACTCCCACACAAATTAGCATATTTCAAAGACAACAACAACAAAGGCAACGAATGCAATAATTGGAGTCCTTGAGCAGAATATGAAAGCGTCTGCTGCGCCAGTTTTCACTTTTGTTGTTGCAGTCGCTTTAATCCTTTGATGTTCAGCAGAAGTGGTACTCGGCCGTGTGTCCTTGTATCCTTGCCCCTGCAACAACAATGCCACTTAATCAGTTTTCCTTTTTTTTAAAGGCTCTTTAAGCTAGCGCCTTAAACAAACGAAATGGGGTTCAGCAGGTGTCAAGGGGGACGGGGTTGGGTGCGGCGACTAAGTCCTTAATCATCGGATTGCATTTTGGGTTAATTAGGCCGCAAGTGCAACAAAAACAGAAAAGTCAATGGAGCATTATCTGAACTGTTGTGGGTGGGGGCTCAATTGCGAATCGGTGAGTCTCGCATGCGATAAATTCACGAGGCGACTGGCAAAATCGCTTCGGCTGGCAGCCCTGCCTCAATGTGGCTGGCTGTGTGTGTCCTTTGATGTATTGTACTTTCGCCAGCCAGTCGCTGCGCAACCAGCAGGAGCACGACAGGAGCAGCCACCCCAAGGACGGGCGCACGTCAGTCAAGGCACGCGCATAACGGCAACATCTTCATCTCCATCATCAGCATCAGCATCATTATCATCAACATCAACTTCATTATCAAACTTTCCACACGACGCAGGCGATGTCGTTGCAAGGATAACAAGCAACACGCACACTGCGACGCACAGGACGAGGCAGGACGCTGCTTCAAGCGTTTCTGTTTCAATTTTTGATTTTAATTTGCATTTAGAGCCTGTCGCACTCGGCTCTCGTCTCATAGTCGTGCGGCGCGTTTCGGTGACAGGACGTCTTGTGTCCTGAGTCTTGTGCGTGGCATTCGTCAAATTAATGAACAAATATCATATTATGGTGCAATAAATAGAAAAATAAATTAAAAATAAATCAATCATAGAAATATATTATTGCAAAAAAGTTATTTCTTTTTAAATTCTGCTAAATTAAAGCATTGAGAAAAACATTAATACATTTTTACATTCAATAAAAAAAATTATCTCTAACTTAAATAAAGATAGAAGATAAATAAAAAAGAGAACAGAATAATTACTAGATGAATAATAAATAAAATGAGTAATAAAATTAAATAAAATTAAACAAGGATACATAAACCACATTTTAAATAATATTTTATTAAACAAAATTATATATGTTTGTTAAAAGTAAATACCTTCAATAAAAACTTAAAATTAATTTTAATGCAAATAAAAACAATACACTAATATTAAAATATTAGTAAAACTTAAATAATTAGAAACACAAATTGCGAACATGAATTTTCTATAGATATTCATCTGTTTACTGTCGAGTTCAGCTAGAAAAAATAAGTGAAACAGTTATCAAAATTAAATAAATGATTCGCTATCCGAAAAGGACTTTAAGGTAGTGAAATGGAATAAAATTAATTTGTGTAAAAAGTATTTCAAATGGCACAAAATTGTTTGATTTTTTTTGTATTATAAAATAATTGAACAAAAAAATAGTGAGCGTACAATTCCGTTTAAAAGAATGCCTACAATAAATAAATGTTCAAAATTCACACGCATTATTGAAGCATAAACAACAATTTAAATATCATAAAACCCACACAAATATTTACCAGCAAAACGAACAAAAAACCACAAGAGCCAACACAAAAAGTGCAGCGAATCAAACTCAATTCTCAGACCTAAGAAAGAAAAGCCACCCAGAAGCAAAGTTCGTGTAACATAAAAAAAAAAATATGAAAAGAATAAAAAAACTGCAAGGCGCAGTGCAGACCAATCAGACCAGCTCGAGCGGCAAGGCGCAGTGAATAAACATAAGAAAGAAAAATAAAATAAAATAAAATAAAAACAAAAAGAAGGTAACAAACAAATATTACAAGAAAAAAAGGTGTTCCAGCTAGCCAGTAGCCGGCGAGCTGAGCGCAGAGCCAAAGCCGAACGATCAATGTTTATTGGCGCTTTGGTCACGATCGGCGGTTCGGAATTCGAGCTGAAAATGTGGCTGTAAAAAATTGCAAGCAAAAATATTCAACGTGGTCCAAAATTGTGCACAATATGTGAAAAATTGAAAGCAAATAAAAAATTAATATAAAAAACAAAAAATATTTACATAATTTGAATAGTCAAAAATATTGTTTAAACTATGCAACGAATATGTAAAGTGGCAAGCAAGCCGAGCTGCAGTGTTGCTTCAATGTGTACTACAAAATGTTTGCTGTTGCATGGCTACGGCAAGCCAGCTCAACAACAACAACAACAACAACAGCAACAACTAAGCAACTAACTTGTGTGTCCAGCAACAACAAAAGCAACAAAAATGTGCTGCCACTAGAATTTTGGCTTCAATTGTATGAAAATTTATGCAAATCAAAGCCGAGCGATGACTGCGTGGCAAGCAACGACAACAACAACAGCAACAGCAAGAACAACAGCGACAGCGACAACAACAACAACGGCAACAACAACGTGCAACAACAACGGAGGAAACAACTTTGTTGCCGCACAGTCGCCGTCGCGTCATTGCCATTTGCATTTAATTGTTGTGATTATCTTGGCCTGCTGCACACGCTGGTAAGTGCGAGTATCTTGTAGATACATCCTCACTCCTCATACGTATCTATAGCTGTCCAGCGTATCCATCAACACCTTGGCGCGTATGTAAAGCAAAACTCAAATGTGTAAATGGGCTGTCAACAAATTAACCCAAGCATTACACAAGCGCGGCCTCTGGCTGTTGTTGTTGTTGCTGCTGTTGCTGCTGTTGCCGTTGTCGGTGGCAAGTTAATTAATTAAACGACAACCACAACAGCAACAACACAGCAGCAGCAGCACAGCCAACACCACTTTATGTTGCTGAGTCAACAGATTAATCAATGCGAGTCTTACACGTCTGTTGACCGCTCCGGAAAACTGTCAGCCAAAGGTGTTGGCATAATTAATATTGATCTAGCCATAAGACCAACCCGTCCAGCTACCTGCTTAATTACCAGCAGTTGTTGCTGTGCTCAGTTCAAAGTGAAACAATTATGCGAACTTTGTTAAGCTGCGCTTTAACTCTAAGCAGAACTCACGCAATAAAATCAACTAATTTTAAGTGTTTAAGAAATCGTTACATTAAAAAAGCGTACGGTTAAAATTTTTAGAGTATTTATTTAACTATGAGTGCATCTAGACCAGATTTCATGTATTTTGAATAAAACAATATTTTATTTTAAGTATTCGGAACTTCCCTAATTTATATGTCAGCCCTTTGCCGGACTTCAATTATTTTTAACCTTAACAGGGATTTTACCTATTCCCGGGTTTTGTTGTTTTTTTTTTTTTGTAATTAACATTGATGAATTTTGCAGTATGTTTACCTGTGGTAAAAAATTCTTAAGTAATACTAAAAACATTTCTTAAATAATTACAAAAATTATGAAAATATTCTTAGATAATAATGTCAATTATTATGTCTTAAATTCCTTAGCTCACATATCTACCTCGTTTAATCCCTTAACTGATTCTTGGCAGCACCATGCAGCCATTGCTATGCTCTGCTATTTTGCTTGACCAAACAACGAATACTTTGCCAAAGAGTCAACGCCATTTTGAATGGTTCATGGCCACTACTGAACGTGGTATCCACCCAGAGAACACAGCCAACTGGCAACTGGCGAATTCTCAGCTCCCAGCACCCAGCTCCCTTTTTGCTGCTGTGGCTGCTGTGCTCGTTGTCTTTGGTTCTCGTCCTCGCATCAACTGCGACCAGCCTACACACAATTGAGTTGATTTCAATTGCAGGGTGGTCCGTGGCACTCAGGCCTTATAATGCGCCAGGCGCTGTCAATCGGTCTCCGACTCTGGTGTGTGCTGTGCGCAATCAGGCGGACGAGAGGCAGTGTCTGTCCAGGTTCCAGGTGCGGCTGACTGGCTGGCTGGCTGACTGACTGGTTGCCTCGCCTAGTAGTTGCAGCTTGTTAATCTCGTTGCTGTTGTTGTTGTTGTTGTTGTTGTTGCATGGGGTTGTCAACATACTTTTTTGCTTGTTGACAACACAGCAACAACAACAACAACAACAGCAACAATAACAAGAACGAGCAGTTGCAGTCAACTCGAGACTGCAGCAATGCAGGCTGAAGAGCAGCTTGCAATTCGTTGTCTTCCTCGTAGTTGCAACGTCATAATTGCAGCGCATAATGAGGCACACACACACACACACACACACACGCTCGCACAGCTGCAAGTGCAACTGCATCTGCTGCCACAATTGCCACAATTTTCGTTTGAAATGCAAATGAAGCACACACGGCCACGCCTCCCAATGATGACAGTGCAAGTGCAATGCATAATGTGCAGCAACCCAATCCTAATTGGGTGCACCACACACTCACACACACACAGATACACAACCTCAAGTGTTCTCGCCTGCACCACATGGCGTATGCGCAACGCAGCGACTTGAGTTTGGGTTATTTATGAGCCGCTGCTACTTTGGCAGCCTCAGGTCTTGAGCCTTATATGCGCGCCTGGCACCACATTTAATTGCTTGTTAAATTTGTTGCATTTTCTTATCGCTCGTCAGCGCGATAAACTCGCCTCAATTGGTAGCCAACTGCTCCTCGGTTCGGCAGTTGCCGATCTGCGAGAAAGTTGCCCCCAGCAAACATTTCGATTCTTTGCTAAATTTACAGCCCATTTTCAGCTGCGATATGTTAGATAAAACTTGATAAAAGGCGTTGATAAATGTTTACCATTATCTAAGCTGAAAGGTTGGTAAAAATTAAACTAAAGATTGTTAATATCAAATAAGATTCACTTTAAATGTGATTCACTTAAAAAAGGTCGAAAAGCGAAGAAATCTATAAGCTTTAACATTTAGATAATAGCTGAATAATCTAACCCCAACGTTTTGATAAGTCAGCAAGTGTGATAAAATTGTGGATCGGACACGAAATAAACCTTTAATAAGGAATAAATATTCTAATAACCTTAGGCAGACTTAATTCCTGCAATCTTACTGGATAATCATCCTACCTTTAAAAGACTTCAGTCCTCTCACTACCCATCGAATGGAAGACGTTGAAGCTGCTCTATCACCAACGGCAAATCAAGCAAACAAAACTGCAATTTAAAGAGAGAGAAAACTAAAAAAAATAAAATTAAATAAAAGATTCTTGGCAAAATGCAATTTAATTGGTTGCCAGATATGCAATGCAGAGCATCTTACAGAGCCATCTGCCAGACGTCTCCCAGATAAAGAATTTAAACTGATGCACATTTTGTTAACAGCTTTATAAAGCGTATGGCTTTTAGTCGCCGTCAACGTTGCTGTTGTTGTTGGGTTTGGCCATTGCTGACTTTGCCAGTGAATTCAATAAAACTGATAAGGCAACAAAGTCAAGGAACCGACGCTGACTCATGCCGCATCCAGCGCTCGCAGATCTGCGGCAATCCGATCCGATGTCGATCCGATGTGGATGTGGATGTGGATGTCGACGCGTATTTCACGCGATGCGATAGCAGCGCAATTGATTCGCTTATAAAATTTATCGATCTGTTAGCCGTGGCCTGAAATTGTTGCCAAGTCGCTTAATTTGAGTTTAAGGACGAGTATGTTGCTTATCAGCCGTGTAAAGTGTTGCCACGATAACAAAAAAAAAAAGAAGAAAGGAACCAAACTAAAATTCAGCCAATATAAAATATATAAACATAGGTATATACTTAAGACTGACGGCAGCAAAAAAATCATTTTCATAATTTCAGTTTCTCACGCTCTCCAGCCAAGAGAAGGAGTCCCAGCTTCAGAGTTCTATTGAAATGCCATAAAAAGATTGAAATGTGTGGCAAGGCTTTAATAGGCGCCGCCAAAAGTCTTTAGTTAAATTGCGTTTTGGCCGTTTCGTCTGTCAAACGGTAGCCCGTTGCATAAATCAAGGATTTTTCGTCGCTTTATGCCCCTCCACAAACTATATCAAATCAGCTAGCTATCTAAGCCAGTTAGGCATAAACATTGTTTCCCACACACACGCACACACACATACACACACCAACACCCAGGCAGACTCAAGTCAAGGCAGACTCAGGCGGGCAGATAACTTTGCCCCGGTCGAGACGAGACATTCCAGGCAGCCTGGCTGCCGGATCCACGGCAACAGCTAGGAATGCTTTTGATCTCGGGCGACTATTCAAATACAGGGTGCCCCACTGTCAGTCAGTCGAAGCATTTCATTTCCATAGCTATACGCTAGCTGCCACTGTAATTAAACGAATTTATCACATTTTTTTACGTTTAACTCATGAAATGTGCAAAAGTTTTTTCGACTGAGCCAAAAGCGAAAGCTTTAACAATTGATTTGCAGCTGGCTCGAAAGGAAATGCCTCGAAATTAATTGAATATTGCGCTTTAAAATAATTGTTTAAAACGTCTACCAAATTAGATTTGATAATTACATCAAGCACAACATTTATTTGCTTCAGTGCCCCAATGTTTCATTGGAATTTTCTTTACTAGTCAAAGCTTTGAGGTCTATTTGATATTAATTATTTTTAACTTATAGATTATAATTTATCTAATTTACTGTCTTGTGCATTTCGGATTAATTTCAATTTCTGCCTTAACAGCTGACTTTCATTTGCATAATGCCAAGAAACTGCTTTTAAGATAAATAGTTCTTTATTCAGCACCAGAACTGTTAACATTTTGGGAGTCTCTGGTGGTTTATCTAACCTGCCGTCTGAACTTAAATTTCTTAATCATATGTCTACATTTATGTATCAACACAAAGTAAGCCCACGCAAAACTTGCACCTAATTAACATGGTTAAACTGTGTCGCAACGTCGCGTACTCCATCTGCATCCGCACAGATTGGGGCCTTCCTGGGTCGAGACAATGGCAACTGCTAAACGGCATGCAGCTAAGTAGTTGGAGCAAGTGAGGCGCAGGCTTTGCTCTGCGGAGAGCATCGTGAATGGCATACCAAATGATGGTAGATCCTCAGATCGGTTGCAGTTGGGTACGTGTGTGAAAATGGCACGTTTCAACATTTGAGTATTTTTTACATGCGCTACGTGCTACAATTAATCCAACCCTCCCTCGCCCCTCCCCAGCCGAGTGACGGGCGTGCGCAAGAAACTACATTGAAGACGCCATCGTCGAGCGCATCACGTATACGCCTGGTATGCCAGCCTGTAGCAACTGCGACTGCGCTCTGCGTGTCGTAGATCAACGCGATGCGATGCCGATGACGATGGCGTTGTGTGGATCTGGCAGTGTTTGTGGTTATGCCAATGGCCCGATGAAGTTGTTCAACGTCAACTGGCACTCGCATTCTGTGTATCTGTGTCTGTATCTGTATCTGTATCTGTGGCGCAAGATCAGAACACCTCTCCGCTGACCTTGAATGCCATCGCGCGCTTTAAATGAGTTCAATGAGAGCCACGGCTTGGAGCTCTTGGACAGCCCCTCAGCTTGTCCCGCGCCAAGCCAAGCTTCTGTTCTGTGTGAGTCATAGACCAAAGATTTGGCTGGAGATTTATGACATCGCTGGAATTTAATTTAGCTACTGTCCGTCTGTCTATTTGTTTTTTTTTTTTTAACTTTGTCTCTGCGCGTTTGCTGATTAAATCTGCTACAAAGCTAAATTAAATTTCATATAAACAAATAAAATGAAATTAAATTAAATTTGCTGGCCAGCAAATTTATACATTTTATTTGGGACGTTTGCGGTTTCTGGCGCTCAAGGTTAATGGTGAATTTCAGCTGCGGTCTGTGTGGGCTTGGGCTGTGATTTGTGTTGGCTCTGAAGCTGGGCTTGGGTTGGGGATTGCTCGTTAATTGCCAGCTGCGGTTGTTGTAATCCAATTTCCACTCAAGCAGAAACACAAACACAAATCAAAACTGGTACGAAAATATTTAACGCTTACATACAATCGATGTATTTTAGGAAATCTGACATTTCTTTCTGTTTCCTTTTTTTACATATTCTAGGTTGTATGGCTTGCCGGACGGACGTGCCACGTGCCGCTCGGTTCCAGGTCTGACCAAGGATCAGCTGGAGCTATGCTACAAGGCAAGTGATGTAACAGCTGCTGCTCTGGAGGGCCTGGATATGGCTATACGGGAATGCCAAATACAGGTATTTCCTTACATATATTATATATTCATATTATATATTTGATTTAATTAATAAATCCAGATAAAGTGCTTGTTTTAATATTTGTATTGTTCAGTATTTTCTAAATCATTTTGAAAATTTGGAAAAACACATTCAACAATAATAATACAAAATAATACATTCACAAATTAGTTATAGGACTTTGAGAAAAAGTTATCAATTAATATTTTTTGCTTAACTTTCATATCTTTCATATTTTAAAATATAATTTTATAAAAAACATGGAAGCTTTGCAACCCTGTTTTAACTGTCATCAGCGAAGAATTTTTCAAATACTTGGTTTTTATTTCTGACATAAAAGGTTAACCTAAATTACTTGATGGATATGACTTCTAAATATAGAAGAGATTTGATATGTTGATTCAAACAAAAGATTATCCGACACACACAAATTGTCATAAACTTTATTAGCTTAGCAGAATTTTGCAGATTTTTGTGTTTTTGATATTTTTATTTATTTTGGTATCTGGGCTGCATCATTAGCTAATCATTTAATGTGAATGTAGTTTCAGTGGCATCGCTGGAACTGCTCGTCTCTGAGCACGAAGAGCCGCAATCCGCATGCCTCCAATCTGCTCAAGAAAGGTGAGTGTTGAGTTGGCTGGGGCTCCCAAGTAGCCTGGCCGGCCAAAAAGCCATTAAGCTGACACTAAAATGCGCCGTAAGTGTGGCTCAGCTTTCACGCAAACAAAATCGCTTTATGACCGGCAAACGACAACAACGGCAACGACAAACTGTCAACGGGTTTGCGGTTATGCATAGAGCAACGGCCCACACGCAAGCCGCTAGGCAAAAAAAAAACACATGGCCAGTCGGGAGTGCTCGACTGGTAGATACCGCGTAACCAGCACCGAGAACCTATAGCAAACATGCGAACATTCTTCCATGGGAAAGGGGCTCTTCAATTACTAACGTGTTTATCTTATGGAATTTAGATCCCATTATTTTCGGGTTATGCTTTAAAAACTAGATCTCAAATCGATGGAAATGGGAAGAGGTATCGAAAAAACAATGATATCCCTTCTGTCGGGCAGTCGTAGCCAGATCCGATCAGCTCGTCGTTCTGATCAAGAGAGTATATATGGGGGAAGGATTCCTTCTGCATGTTAGATACATTTGCACAAAACAATCACGCCCTTTTCTATGGATCTAGGGTATAAAGAGAGTCTAATTAAAAGTGCCCAGCAGTGGTCTCTGGTCCACTGTCCGATGCTATTAGCCGTCGCATTATTAGACATGCCATGGCATAAAACCACAGCAGTCGGAGCTGGCGCTGCAGCTGGAGTTGGCTCTCTAATGCCCCGGCGCAGTTGGTCAGCGAATAGCTAGATCATATTTCTAAGTTTTCCAGCTAGTAAGAGTGTCGCTTGGGGCTTGTGCTGGGCGCACCTTTTGTCGCGGCCTAGTGCATCCCGGCAGCGGCAGTGCGAACTTTGACTTTGATATCTTAATCTGTCGGCCAGGCATTATATTACACACACAAGATCCCCGACTAAGGCGTGTGCCTTATGATCATCTTGATCATGATGACGTTTAACTGACCATCTACAAAGTGTCGCCGCTTTCTTAGACGCTTTTGTTAGCCAAGTAGCAAATAGAGTTAAGTTTATGATCACAAGCGCCGATCGCAAGGCACCTACTGTATCAACTAACTACTGTTATGACTCACATGGATAGCGTCTCAGGTTCTGTATAAAGCGGGCACCACCCAAAAGCTCTAAAAAGCTATTGGTTTTAGTAGTAATGAGTTCCATGAAAATTTCTAGCACATTTTATGCATGGTGTAAATGGCAAAACTATCTATTTGTTTACCAACACTAAGCCTTAAATTATGGTGAAGTCATTTAATAAATTATTTCAATCTATGGTTATCATGCTAAATGGTAACTGGATATCAGTTTATTAAGACTAACGCCAGTTTTCTAAAGGTTTGCTTAACTTATCCACACTTCAGTTTCTTGCCGAAAGTCAGCCAAAAGTTTTGCAGTGAAAGAGATTTATTTCATAGAATATGTCTTGTACATCAAAATGAATAAGATTTGTTTGTTGCTCTGTTAAGCTTTAAGATAAAAATATCCTTAAGGATAACGAGAAATTGTAAGCAAAAAGAATACCAAGCCCGCAATTAGGACTGAAGAAGAAAAATATATGTATAATAAGAATCAGCTCCCTTCCTTTTGGTTCGTTTCCTAAACATGAACCCAGGTTTTTGTCCAATCGGTAGTTTATCATATATTCTATTCCATTTTTTGTTTTTTATTGCGCGTTGTTCTGAAAATATTGCAAACCGTAAATATTTTCATACACAAGTTGCGCGCTAGATTTGATTTCTACCCAAAATTTAAACCTAGCAAATATGGTGAGATAAATTCAATGATTGAGGCTAAAGTTTTTCATTATTCTACATCAAAAGTATTATTATTTTAAACCGAAACGTATAGTTTCTGGTGTCGTATTGGGTGTTCTTTGGGCAATTAGTGTGGGTTAAGGTTCAGTTCAATTTCCACAATTCCACAATTAATTCTAATCCCATGACTTCGAAGATAACATATAAAGTATACATCTTCGCAACACAATGCCAGATATAAAGGAAAGGAATTATCTTTAATAAATGACAATTGCCCAGGTGACAATCAGGCTAGTTAGTTGAAAAATCTTTTGGCAGCCCTTAAGGAATGTTTCAAGTGCGTTCCCAAGTGCTTCATTAGTTAAATTATGCGTCATACGATTGCTGTAAAAATGCCAAAACAATGGGGCGAATGGTCAATGATCAAAATGGCGGCATGCAATGCAGATGCAAACGATATACTCGCAGTAGCAAGGCTGAAAAGATTTCTCACAAATTTCAATGCAGCTTAAAAGACAAAAAAAAAAAAAAAAAGGAGAAATAAACAAAAAATAAGAAACAAGCAGCAAGAAGAGTGGCCTGGGAGACCGACGAGTAAAAGGGAAAGGCCCACAGCCAAGTCGAGTGGAGACGACTCTGACTTGACTCCGAGTCCGGCGTAATTTATTTGCATTCATCGTATAAATTATATTGTAAGCAAACCACTTCATTCAATTTCAATTTAAAAAATTGTTATCTCTGTTGACGGATGCTGCCGCGGCCACTGACAACGTACAGCAAAACGACAGCCAGACATTTCAAGAGACAAACGAACCAGCAAACGAATGAACGGCATGGGAGCGGACATGGACTTGGACATGGATCTGGTTGTGCCACTGGATCTGGATGTGAATTTGGTAATGGACATGGTCGAGCTGAGCAGTTGCCAATTGTTGTGATCAAGAGCATAAACGATTCGGTGTAGTTCGCATATTTTCGAGCAAACTCCGATTTTTAATCAGCTTCATAGACCATAAGATATAAGGCAACCTTGCAATGATTTTTTGTGTACAATGATTTAATAGTTCATAAAGAACATATCGGAGCATTATAATTGTCTGCTTCCGATTGTAAAATACTCTATTCAAACGAGCATTAATAGCAAGAGATTCAGTGGAAGATCATGAAATTAAATGCACTTGACCTATGCATATAGAAAGGTAGAGTGGGAGATGAGCTAGGTTTCTAACTAATGATATGTAAATGTGCTATGCCATAAATATAAAAGTAAGTTTGCAGAAAAACTATACGAAAATATACAAAAATGCACATATGGAACTTAACATGAATAATCTTGTGCTGTGGAGTTTCATATCAATAATAGAGAACTTATATCTGAACACTTTTGGGAGATCAGATATAGTTTTTAATAATAAATAATATCAAAAAATAGAATTTCTTTAAAATGCAACAACACAGTAGATATATATTACTCCAGATATTTAAATTTGCCGAATAATCCGTTTGGCTTAGGGGTAAGCTACTTAGTAGTTCTCAACGCCGTATCAAAGTATATGGTTGTATAGTAATTCCGACAAAGCGCAAAACAATGTCATTACAGCATATCTACATATAATTTGCATTAAGCCATAATCTTGGGACTGGCATCAAGTGCACAAAACTTGATCGGGCCAAATACCAAAATGAGCCGGGTTAAAGTTAACAACACTGCCCAATATAACAATGCCGAACCATAAATCTCCAAATGCATGCCACACCAGCCGCAGCAGCAGCAGCAGCAGCAGCTGGAGCAGCCGGAGCAGGCGGAGCAGCACTTCCAAGTAACTCTCGACTAGCCTTCAACGGGGCGCGCAGCGTACGAATATGGTAAACCCAAGCTTATGTCAGTGACATGTCTGCCGATCTGGCCGGCCGGCTGTCTGTCTGGCTGTCTGGCTGTCCGATTGTCTGTTTGTCAAGCGGCCCGTTCGTGTGTCCATTAAATAAGGAAGGAAACACCGAACTGAACTGCACATAACGAGAGTCAATATTGACAGGCAACAGCAACGCGTGCAACGATTGCGACGGGGAGACTTATAAGGGCAGAGGCATAGCCCAGGCCAGGCAACCAGGCAACCGAGCAACCTGAGCAGCCCCAAGCAGCGAGGGATCGACGACGACGACGACGATCGGCCAAGTGAAACGAAACAAATCAAGTCGGAGAGGCACAATGACTGACAATCGAACGGCGCACGGACAGGTCAACTATTTTGCATACATCTACTATAACTTATGGAACTGGCCGATCGTTGATCGTCGTCGTCGCAGTTTGCAGCGGCTGCTGCTGCTGCTGTTGCTGCTGCTGCTGCTGCTGCTGCTACTTCGCCATGCATTATTGTCAATCAAGTGAGGCTGGAACTGGGGACTGGGGAGTGGGGACTGAGAAGTGGGGCTGCGACTGTTGCGGCAGCAGGCATGTACAAAAGTAGTAAAAGGATTACGTACGATCGTCGACGACGATCGACCTTTATCTTGGTCTCGGTTCAGCCAAATGCATGTGACAACAAGCGAGCGACGTATGTCGCAAACAATTACTTGGGATTGCAACATAAGAGACAGAGACAGAGACAGGGACAGGGACAGGGACAGGTCGTTGTTTGGGGCCAGTGCAGCTCGCCTGGCTCGATCGCTGCTTGCCAATTTATGCGCGGTAAGAAGCACGTCAGCGGCCCCAAGGCATTGTCAAATGTAACTCGCTGGCAATGATGTGATTTGGATTTGCAAATGGCCTAAGAGGGGGAACAAAGCGTGCATAAATCAAGACCCAATCGACCGATCAGCGATCAGCGATCAACGATCACACAGATCACCTGAGTGAGAGAGTGAGAGACGGAGAGAAGGGGCGGTAGATGGATCTGCTAGGCTGCGGCTACTGTGCGCATTGATGCATTGATTGATGGCGTCTTAATCGTCAATCAAATGCGCGCTACACTTTTGCATTACACCATTGACATTGGATCGAATCGAGCGCTCGATCGCCGAATCGCTGGATCACTCGTTCGCTGTGGCTGTACGACAACGACAACTTGTCACAACATTGACATTTGCATTCGTGCGCATCCTGAGTGACAGACGGACTCTGAATCTCTTGCCAGCGAACGGCTTGACCATCTGACTGATTGTTTGACAGCTGTGTCCCCCCTCACCAGTTACCTGTTAGCAGGTACCATCTTCTGCTTGATGCACGCCTGTCACATTGACATATGTACTGTCGCCGGCGCATTGAATTTGGCTTTTGGTTTGTCTTATGCAAAGTGGCGCTGACAATTTGCATGTCAATCGATTGACAAATGTTGCCAACTTTGGCCCGCTCAATGACGTTACATGTCGGTCATGATTAACGTCAATTTTGACAGCCGTTTGACAGCTGTTGCATAAGCCGTCAACTAACTGCCTGGGTGGGTGTGCTCTGACTATGGCTGTGGCCGGGGCTGTGGCTGTGACTGTGCCCACAATTTTGCATCATTAAAACTTGTCTGATCGATCGCTGGAATCAATTGAATTGGCCAGGCTCTGGCTGGCGGCATTTGGGGCTTGGCGGCAAAATTGAACGCTTGTCCGGCTCATGTCAAAGCCAAATGCCGCACAATTCCCTGGACGATCGCAAAGACAGCGACAACAACTGCTTGGGCATTCAGTGTTAAAAATAACGCCGCATATTTTGCGATAGTGTGCAATGAATCCCAGGTGACACACTCCGACTCCGACTCCGACTCCAACTGCAGCTCCAATTCCAAATTCAATCTCAACAATCTTCTCAACAGGCTATCGGGAGAGCGCATTTGCCTTTGCCATTTCAGCGGCCGGGGTGGCCCACAGTGTGGCTCGCGCCTGCAGCCAAGGCCGTTTGATGTCCTGCGGCTGTGATCCGACCATAAATCGGAAGACACTCAACAAGAATCTGCGCCAGTCGCTCGACAAGGAGAAGAAACAATTTCTCCAATATCTGGAGACGAATCAAATCCTAACACCCGAGGAAGAGAAGAAATACGAACGCTCCAAAATCGCCAGTCGCTGGAAATGGGGCGGCTGCTCTCACAACATGGACTTTGGTGTGGAATATTCCAAGCTATTTCTAGATTGTCGCGAAAAGGCCGGCGATATACAATCCAAAATTAATCTGCACAACAATAATGCGGGCCGCATGGTAAGTAAAACATTTATTTATTTTCTTTTATTTTTCATTTATTTATTTATTTACAAAAACAAGTGTCTTCCAAATTATTCGATATATCTTATTATAAAATTTTAGTGCTAGATGTAGTTTCTGGACCTTTAAGAAAAACTTATTGAAGATAGGTGATATTAACTAACTAATAGAACTGACTAAACAATTAAATATTTACCTTTAACATGAATAAATTCTAATATTTAAGTTTTAAAATCCAGATACAAATTTGCTTTGAATAATAAGTATTATTATAAGTATACGCGCTCAGCTTATATGTCCTCATCTGTAGATAAGAAAAATATCAGCACATTTACATTTCAAACACAATTTTTGAATGTTGAATGTTTAATTCAATTATATATATACCCTATGAATCGATATGCCCAATATACCCTTCTAATTTGTAGGCCGTATCAAACAATATGGAGTTCCGTTGTAAATGTCACGGCATGTCGGGTAGCTGCCAGCTAAAGACTTGCTGGAAATCGGCACCCGATTTCCATATCGTGGGCAAAGTGCTGAAGCATCAGTTTCGCAAGGCCATTCTGGTGGATCAATCGAATCTTGGCAACGGTGAGCCGGTTGTGGTGCTCAAGCGAGCACGCAATAAGAAATCAAACGGAGGCAACGGCGCCGGTGGCTCCTCGGATATGGCTGGCGCCGATGCGTCTGGCACACTGGCGGGTCACGGGACCCAGCGCGACTTGGACGCCGAACAAGGCACACGCCAGCCCAAAGGTGATAAGAACGCGGCCCGCATGGCACGCAAGCTGGAGACGTCGCTCTTCTATTATCAGCGCTCGCCCAACTTTTGTGAGCGCGACCTGGGCGCAGATATTCAGGGTAAGTGATAGATACATATATTGGAGTAGTATCCCTGAGAATAAGTTATAATCAATAAACGATTTTCTAAGCAATCGTACAGCCAGCGTAATATTACAAAAGTATTTTTGACAAATCCTGCTAGAACACAACCATTTATTTATGGCTAAGGTCTTTACTATCCTTAATTGAAGCAGGAAGTGCAACCACGAACCAAATATTGACTTATGCACAACTTTGTTGATAAGTATTGTTTATTATCAAAATTTGAGTGTGTTCGTTTTTAATTTAGCGCTCAAGTGAAAAGTTGTTGAGCTATTCTCAATCCAAAAAAACACTCAGAACACATAAATAATATTGTACAAGCCGTCTTTGCTCTACTTGTAACGCTTCGAATCGATATTCAAAAAAATGATAAGAGTAAATACCATTAAAATTTGCAGATTGTCTCCAAAAAAAAAAAAAGGAAATGTCAAAAATTCGGTCGCACTCAGGCAACGGGCAACTAATTAAAAATGATTTATTAGCATTTGCTTAAGCGATAAATTTGATTTGCCTCTTAATAAATAAATCACAAATGCAAATTAACAACAGCCGCGTAACAGAAACAACAACAGCAGTAACAACAACAACAACAACAACAACAACAACAAATGCAAAAAAAAATAACCATTTATTAACGGAGCCACATAACTCAAAATGCGCCACGACAAAGTCGAGAGCTGCGCATGCGCACGGCACGTACTCAGCCAACAACCGGCAACAACAACAACTGAGCAACAACAACAACAACAACTAACTGCCACTTGCAATTTTTGTTAGCCATTTTGTAGCTGTTGTTGTTGTTGTTGTTGCTGCTGTTGACACATTTGCAAATTATCAAAAGCGACTGCGACTGCGGGCCAGTTTAAAGTGTTAATTACGACGCAAATTTATAATTAATCGTTGACTACCACTGGCTGAGGGGGGGGCTGGGGGTTGCCCGGGGTCTAACGGGGTTGGTTTTGCATCTGTTCAACCCGAAGCCCGCCAAAGCCCAAACTCGTCGCCCCATTGAACAGGCGCTTGATTCATGTGCCGTGTCTAGCCAAATGATGGCAATTAACGTTGGCAATTAACATCTAACAATTATGATACTTTGCTTAGCGTTGCACTTAATTGTTTATTTATCGCTTTTTAATGGCTCCGATGTGAACTGTACAGCTGGAGACCACTACAGAAAATGTCGCCATTCAAAGCAATTTATCGTTAAAGCAAGCCATTGATTAATCTATATTTTAATTCGATTGCAATTAACTTGCAATTGTAGACTGGTTAAATGCTTTTGGCTTATCCAAAAAATAAATATATTAAATGTCAGAAATATTTACACAAAAAGTTTAGGGTTTTGCCCAAAAAGTGGATTTAAATTTCCCTAAATTCGAAACATAAAGCTGATTGACTGTCAAGGTTATATTCTAAGCGATCGATAGAGCATATAATTATTATATTTGTTTAGTATATTGTAAGAATTATGGATAACACTTCTAAATGAATCGAATTAGATAAATATTATTATTACGGCATCGATCAATTTAAAATTATATCGATCATATGAATTACAACTATCGATATATGCAACGACCTATCGATTGTATTAGTATGTTTTTTCGATACCTTTCGTAATCTGATCGATCACTAGAATTGCAACTAACAGCAATTTTGCAGAGTTATCGACTATATAGATTTTTCTATTCCGTCGATTACTTGAGAGCTTATCAATAGCTTTAATAATTCTAATATATTGTTTTTTTAGTTAATCTTATTAATCTTCTTAAATTTTTAACCTACTATATATAAATGCAAAAAATATTTATCGACTTTCTGAAACTTGAATTCATTAACTTATTTCCTTGCTTACATTTTAGGCACAGCTGGTCGAAAATGTAATCGCAATTCCACGACCAGCGACGGCTGCGCCTCCCTCTGCTGTGGGCGTGGTCACAGCCAAGTTAAGGAACGACGCGCCGAACGCTGTCGGTGTAAATTTCAATGGTGCTGTAGCGTCGAGTGCGATGAGTGTCATGTGGAGGAGTGGATAAGTGTGTGCAATTGAGAAACGGAGGCAATGAGAACTGATAAAAGACTTCTCTTCAATTAGCGGCAGCAACTAAAATAACAACAATATCGAAATACACTTAATTTATGCAAACAGAAAAACAAAAAAAAACATCAACATATTTCTAGATTAAAACACTTAATATTGGACAACTATAGGAGTACCATCGATGGATCCATTATGTGAATGTGTATATTTAATATTTAGTTTAGCGGTCGATCCCATTTACGAATACTTGTAAATACGAATAATAAGATGCACGATTAGAGTCTGTCAATCAGCTGACTTCTATTCAATTCTATCTCTCTGTCTCTTAATCCCCCAGTTTTCCGCGTTTCTTTTGTTGCACGTGAATGTCGCGCTGCCTGCGACTGGGCTTCTAATTCAATTAGTTGGCTAAATAGTTGCCCAAGGTACAGGGATGGGTAGTCTTACCAATTCAGCGTGAATGGGAATAAGCAATTGGCCAACATGCCATGACGCTGTTGCGGGGCTTCTTGGGCTCAGTAAAAAGCCGAGGAATCCGTTTGCACAACTTTCAGTTGGCTTTTTGCAGCGCATCGTGCTGCAAGCGTGCGGTCGGTTCGGAAATTCACCAACAGAAACAAAGGATACCATCAACGTTCGTGCTGTGGCAAATAACTACTAAGCAAAGGTCTGTCTATAAGGATACTCGAGTGTTAAAGCTGCAAGATGTATTGCCTAAAAATAGCTAAAGCTTTTAAAGAAACTGTTACGAAACTGATTATGAATAGATACGTTTTCTAAGTGAACAATGAGGATTAGGCTTTAAGTCAAGTTTATTACCCTATACATAACTCAATTTTAAAAGTTGCCTTTTATCCTTGGATGATCTTAACATTCTGGAATACTGCTTTCTTAAAAAAAAACCAATTTCTCATTATCCTTGGCATACTGTCCTAAGAAGGAATTTCGACTGTGTTACAACTGCCCCAACTAAGCCCTATCCAATTTTTGTCGATGGGGGCCTCAACCCTAAACATCCCCATCTGCTCACTGGTAATCGGGTGAAACCTTCCAAATTACTAATGCGATTTACCATTGTTATTCTCTGCGTTACCTATTCACCATAAAACACTTTAGCAACTATTATATCCTGTGAGTATCCTGATCAAGTGTGACAAAATGTATTTGCCGTATACGCAATTGCCGGATCCAACCGATAAATTCGAGATCTATGAGGAGATTGCGCAGGGTGTCAATGCGAAGGTGTTTCGAGCCAAGGAACTGGACACTGATCGCATCGTTGCACTGAAGATACAGCACTATGACGAGGAGCACCAGGTGTCCATTGAGGAGGAATATCGCACGCTGCGCGACTACTGTTCACATCCAAATCTGCCCGAGTTCTACGGCGTCTACAAGCTGTCGAAACCCAATGGACCCGATGAGATTTGGTTTGTCATGGAGGTTAGTGTACAGCCGAGAATTCCAGCCGTATTCCAATCCATCTAACCTTCAATCGTTTACAGTACTGCGCTGGTGGCACCGCCGTGGACATGGTCAATAAGTTGCTGAAGTTGGACCGTCGCATGCGAGAGGAGCACATCGCCTACATCATCAGGGAAACCTGCCGCGCAGCCATCGAGCTGAATCGCAATCATGTTCTCCATCGGGACATACGGGGCGACAACATTCTATTAACCAAAAACGGATGCGTTAAGCTGTGCGACTTTGGGCTGTCGCGTCAGGTGGACTCGACGCTGGGCAAAAGGGGCACCTGCATTGGATCGCCCTGCTGGATGGCACCCGAGGTGGTGGCAGCTATGGAAACCCGTGAGCCGGACATTACAGTGCGTGCCGACGTCTGGGCTCTGGGCATAGCCACCATTGAGCTGGCCGATGGTAAGCCTCCGTTTGCAGACATGCATCCAACAAGGGCCATGTTTTCGATTGTACGCAATCCACCGCCCACATTGACGCGTCCGACGAACTGGTCGCAGCAGATCAATGACTTTATAGCCGAGTGCCTGGAGAAGAATGCTGAGAATCGGCCCATGATGGTGGAAATGGTGGAGCATCCCTTTCTCACCGAACTCATTGAGAATGAGGAGGAAATGCGTTCCGATCTGGCCGAGATGCTGGAGCTAGCCAGCGATGTCAAGACGTTGTACAAGGAGCCAGAACTCTTTGTGGACCGAGGCTACATCAAGCGCTTCGATGAGAAACCGGAACGGATGTATCCCGAGGATCTGGCGGCCCTGGAAAATCCGGTGGATGAGAGCATACTTGACTCGTTGCGCAACCGTATGGAAATGGGCGAGTCCTACAGCTTCATTGGCGACATTTTGCTATCATTGAACTCCAATGAGCTCAAGCAGGAGTTCAGCCCTGAGGTGCGTCTCTCATAAAACCAACTGCTCTTCCTAAGCAGAAAACGTAATTGTTGTATCTTTTGTAGTTCCATGCCAAATACAAATGCAAGTCCCGTTCGGAGAATCAGCCGCATATCTTTTCCGTGGCGGATATAGCCTATCAGGATATGCTGCACCACCGCGAACCGCAGCACATTGTGTTCTCCGGCGAGAGCTTTTCGGGCAAGTCCACGAATGCCCGTCTGCTAATCAAACATCTCTGCTATCTGGGCTCTGGCAATCGTGGCGCCACGGGGCGCGTCGAGAACTCCATTAAGGTCATACTCATGCTGGTGAATGCTGGCACACCGGTTAACAACGACTCCACACGGTGTGTCCTGCAGTATTGCCTGACCTTCGGTAAGACGGGCAAGATGAGCGGCGCCGTCTACAACATGTACATGCTGGAGAAGCTGCGCGTGGCCACCACGGATGGCAGCCAGCACAACTTTCACATCTTTTACTATTTCTATGACTTTATGAATCAACAGAATCAGCTGAAGGACTACAATCTCAAGTCGGATCGCAACTATCGCTATCTGCGCATACCGCCAGATGGGCCACCGTCCAAGCTCAAGTATCGACGCGATGATCCTGAGGGCAATGTGGAGCGATTTCGTGAGTTCGAGAGCATTCTGCGCGACTTGGACTTTAGTCACAAGCAGCTGGAAACGGTACGAAAAGTACTAGCTGCCATTCTTAACATTGGCAACATACGCTTCCGTCCGTCGGGCAAATACGCCGAGGTAGAGAACACCGAGATTGTCTCCCGCATATCGGAGCTGTTGCGCGTCGATGAAAAGAAGTTCATGTGGTCGCTCACCAACTTCATCATGGTCAAGGGCGGCATTGCCGAGCGGCGACAGTATACAGCGGAAGAGGCACGAGATGCTCGGGATGCGGTCGCCTCCACGCTTTACTCGCGTCTGGTTGACTTTATTATCAACAGAATCAACATGAACATGTCCTTTCCACGCGCCGTCTTGTGAGTATTGGCTTAGAGGTGCCCTAGACTCTTTGATAATAATTGCTTTCCTGCCCTTACAGCGGCGACACGAATGCCATAATCGTGCATGATATGTACGGTTTCGAGTGCTTCCATCGGAATGGCCTGGAGCAGCTGATCATCAATACACTGAACGAGCAAATGCAGTATCATTACAATCAGCGCATCTTCATTAGCGAAATGCTGGAAATGGAAGCGGAGGATATTGACACCATAAATCTTAACTTTTACGATAACAAGACAGCGCTAGATAATCTGCTTACCAAGCCCGATGGACTTTTCTACATCATAGACGATGCATCGCGCTCCTGTCAGGACCAGGATTTGATTATGGGTAGGATCAGTGCTCTTCCTCATTTTCTCTCTCTCTCGACATTATCTTTGTGGTGTTTTGTTTAGACCGCGTGTCGGAAAAGCACAGCCAGTTCGTGAAAAAACACACTGCCACTGAGCTATCCGTGGCCCATTATACGGGCCGCATCATTTACGATACGCGCGCCTTCACCGACATCAATCGCGACTTTGTGCCACCCGAGATGATCGAAACGTTCCGCTCCTCGCTGGACGAGAGCATCATGCTCATGTTTACCAATCAGCTAACCAAAGCTGGCAATCTAACCATGCCGTTTGAGGCCGTACAGCATAAGGATGAAAGCGAACGCAAATCATACGTGCGTTGCATGTACTCCTGGTACAGATTAAGGCCCCTCAATTAACATTTGATCCATTGTAGAATCTCAACACGCTCAGCGCTGGCTGCATCTCGCAAGTGAACAACCTGCGCACCATGGCGGCCAACTTCCGCTACACCTGCCTGACCCTGCTCCGAATGCTCAGCCAGAATGCGAATCTGGGCGTGCACTTTGTGCGTTGCATACGCGCCGATCTCGAGTACAAGCCGCGTGCCTTCCACTCGGACGTCGTGCAGCAGCAGATGAAGGCGCTCGGAGTTCTGGACACGGTTATTGCACGACAGCGCGGCTACTCCACGCGGCTGCCCTTCGAGGAGTTCCTCAAGCGGTAGGCTGCAACTTTGACTGTGCTCACAATCCACTAAGGTCTCCTTCTGAATGATTCTGCAGCTATCAATTCTTGGCCTTTGACTTTGATGAGACCGTTGAGATGACCAAGGACAATTGCAGGCTGTTGTTTTTGCGCCTCAAAATGGAGGGCTGGGTTCTGGGCAAGACCAAGGTCTTCTTGCGCTACTACAACGACGAGTTTCTGGCCAGGTGAGCTCGACATCGAAATCGAAGTCGTCTCAGACTAACCACATAGCTGCGCATCTTTTGCAGGCAATATGAGCTGCAGGTAAAGAAGGTCATCAAGGTGCAGTCCATGATGCGTGCCCTGCTCGCGCGCAAGCGCGTCAAAGGAGGCAAGGTCTTCAAATGTAAGTGGCGCCATCTAACGCAATGCAGTTGTACTTAGCCACGGCAAGTCCTTAACTCTCTGTCTCATCACACAGTGGGCAAAAAGGGGCCAGGCCAGCATGATGAGGCCGCCAGCAAGATACAAAAAGGTAAAAAAACTCAAGTTGATAAACTTAAAGATTTCGATGAGGAGCATATCGACATAAGCGAGACTCCATCGGAGGCCGATGAACTGTTTCTGGAAGCGCGTAAAGACGAGGCTCTCGCCGCAGTGTGCATCTCCAAAATCGAGCAGGCCTCAGTCGATGAATAGATCTCACACCAATAACCTAATCAAGCAATGCCCATGTGGGCACTATACTAACTCGTGGAGGTAGCCTTACCAATGCCACATACCAAATACTACATACTACTCTGCATGCATATAATAAAATATCAAAGTAACCAAGCCACAAGTTTACATTAGTAGTAGTCTAGGGTGTCCGGCTGTTGGATAATTTAAGCCGCTTAGTGCCAACATCTTTGGTGTTTACCTTTGGCTACCAACCCCAAGCCACCCTCACTGATGCAACCAATAGGCTTACCGCGCCACAAACAGAAACAGAATTATAAGTGTTGCATAGAAAATAAATGAAAATTTAATTAAATTAAGGTGACTCCCCGCCCATTGACCGCATTTCTAACTGGCCACTAACCCGCTCTATCTCTCTCTCTTTCTCCTCCACATCTCTCTTTCCCTCTCCCTCTCCCTCTCTCTTTCTCTTTTGTTTTCTTGAGCAGCTTTTCGGGGCTTCCGCGACCGTGTCCGCTTACCTCCGCTGGTCAACGAGAAGTCCGGACAGCTCAATGAGAACACGGCGGATTTCATTCGGCCGTTTGCCAAGAAGTGGCGTGAAAAGTCCATATTCCAGGTGCTGCTACATTATCGCGCCGCACGCTTCCAGGACTTTGTCAATCTGTCACAGCAGGTAAGCTCTCACATTGAACATTGATCCTGAGCTCTAATCGAACCACCTTCAACAGGTGCACATATACAACCAGCGCATGGTGGCCGGTCTCAATAAATGCACCCGAGCAGTGCCATTTGAGCGGATTAATATGCGCGAGGTGAACTCCTCGCAGCTGGGACCGCTGCCCGTGCCCATCAGCAAGATGCCGTTCCGCTTGGATCAGATACCTTTCTACGATACACAATATATGGTGGATCCGGCCAATTCGATTTCACGGCAAACCTTTCCCAATCACTTGTTGCTGCAACAGTTGGAGGAAGACGAGCCCTGGGACAGTCCGTTGCAGCGTAATCCTTCGATGACCTCGTGCTTGCTCACCTACAATGCGTATAAGAAGGAGCAGGCCTGTCAGACCAACTGGGATCGCATGGGCGAGAGTGACAATATCTACAACCAGGGCTACTTTCGGGATCCACAGCAGCTGAGAAGGTAAGCCGAATGCACAATCTCAATGGGTTCTCGTGCTGATCAGGGTATGCTCGTCAGGAATCAAATGCAAAAGAATATGAATGCCTACAACAATGCCTACAACAACTACAACAGCAACTATCAGAGCAACAACATGAGTGGCAATTGGGGAGTTCATCGGTCGGGCTCACGTCGCAATTCCTTGAAGGGCTATGCGGCGCCCCCTCCACCACCGCCCATGCCCTCCTCCAACCAGTATCGCAATAATCCCAATCAGCAACAGCGCAACTATCAGCAACGCTCCTCATATCCACCCGCCGATCCGATACGAGAGCTACAGAATATGGCACGCAGAAATGAGGACGATGTAAGTAATTAACAGCATTACGGGATAAAATTCAGATTCCCGCTTTGCAGAACTCGGAGGAGCCACCATTTAATTTTAAGGCCATGCTGCGGAAGACAAACTATCCGCGTGGCTCCGAGACGAACACCTACGATTTCCACAATCGTCATGACTCGAACCATGAGCAGCAGCACACATTCCAGGCGCCAAAGCTGCGTTCCACGGGCCGACGCTACGATGACGAGGGCCAAAACTCCAACTATAATGCCGGCAAATATGGTGTGGCACGCAATTTTGGCCAGCGTGCCCCGCCGCTGCGCCAGACACCAGCGAGCGTAGGACGCAGCTTTGAGGATAGCAATGCACGCTCCTTCGAGGAGGCGGGCTCATACGTAGAAGAGGAGATTGCACCTGGCGTGACACTTTCGGGCTATGCTGTTGACATATAAAATGCATTAGATATCTATTTAGTATATTGCAGCATGCGAGGTAGTGGCTAAGTGGCTTCAATTAAAAGCTTTGTAATTTAATATTTAAAATTATAGTACCCACCGTGAGTACTCTAGCAGCCATAAATTTTCCAAAGAGTTTAATGATTTAAGCAATAAATTTGAGTTCGGCAAATAATTTGCGATTTATTTAAACACGAAAAAGAGGTTTACGACGATATTACATTGCTTTTGAACGATTCATTTCACTTGTAGTCCTAAAACGCAACAACAATACTTTCAGTATTACATAGACACTATGCATAATACATTGTTTATACGTATACATATATATATATATAGCTATATTATATTATTACATTATTGCCTTAACAAAAGTTTGAAGGAATGGAAAGAACAAACACTTTCTTGTATACAGGATTTGTTTTAAAGTGTGTAGGAAGGTTTTTATGGCTAAAGTAAATATGTAAAGGTTTTAACCGCACACCCAAAAGAGATATAGTGCTATAAATTCTTGAACGTGATAAAACCGAGCTTTCACTTAATGCCTTGAACAGCGACCGCCATCAATCGTCCATGCCCGGTTCACGAAGCCCATCCGAGTGCATTTGCTTGCCAGCAATTTCCAGCATGGCACGATCCTCCAGATTGCTGTCCAGCACAGAACGTTTCTACAGAAAAGTCAGCAAAGGTAATCATAATTCTTATATGAATATGCGCTAACTAAACACTAGTTGAAGATTTTAACCAAAAACAATTTTTAGGTTTTTTTAGAAGTCTTTTTTTGGAAATGTTTATAAATATGTAAAATATTTTGTTTTTTCTAGTGTGTAGAGTGTTTACCTGACCATCCCCGCCCTCGTCTTCATCCTTGACGGGCAAATCGCCGACAGCCCAAACCTCCAGGTTACGTATTTTGAATTGCTTACGTTTGCTGTAAAATATTGTATTGTTGTGCTTTTAGTAATGCGCAGCAAAAAGAGTATATAAAATCAAAAGGCGCACCTGAGCTGCACATAGTCGCTATATGTGGTACAGCTCTCCACACTCTGACCCTCGCCAAACATGCAGTCTAACCAGAGGCCTGCAAAATGGCAGTTAATGTATAAATTGATTCTAATTATAAGCTTTAAGTGATATTGGTCTTACCCCAGAAATCAAACTGCCCGCCCATGCCCTGTACAGAGAGTTGAGGTTAAAACGCTAATCGATACACATTTTTAGAGGGCATAAGTACTCACCAGCCCATTGGGCATTGTATGCTGATTCAAGTTAAGATACTGATAATGGTCATTGTAGCCAGTGGAGCTGAAACAGCGCATGGCTGGACTGAGCGTATAGAGCAAAGAGGTATCGTCGCCACCAAACTGAGGCTTAAGGGACCATGATTCTGGTGCATAGCCGCCAAATATGTATTGATCCTCGTCTTCAATGAAGAACAACGTGGGCCCCTTGTCGATCATCTTGCCAATCATGGTGGAGAAACTCTCACCGTGGACTTTCGATGAAAATAGGAAACGCCATTTGTGACGCATCTCGCGCGGCAGCTGTGCATTTATATACAGCACATGTGGAAGCTCGATGATGGGCCTGTAGTGACTGCTGTGCGGGGCATCTGTATGCGCGAATGTGATTTACGATTGTCATGATTGAGGCGTACAATAGAACATTACATACCGCACAGTTGAGGCAGAATGGAAATTTCCACATCTTTGATGATTGTGCGCTTGCTGCCACCATGGCGTGTGTAAAGCTGCACGAAAACCTCGCGCCACAATTGCAGAAACTGCGGCGTGACATGCAGCCAACGTTCCAGTGCTTCATTGTGCAAAGTGTGCTCCAAATCTTTGCTTAGGTTACGCATCAGGCCCTTGGCAAAGCTGCAGACTGAACGTTCGGTTGTGAGAAAGCCCAAATCCTGCCATTCCTTAATGATGGATCCCTTCGAGGTGCTCTCCAGATGCACATAGCTCTTTATGACCGAGTGTATATACTGCAAGCAGGAAAATTGGTTAATTGATTTATTTATCATTTCATCATTTAGATTTAATGCTCACCTGTTCAAGCTGTTTGCTGTTGTAGCTGTCGTTGGCGCCGCGTTGCAGCGACGCCAGCATCATTTGCATCTTCATCTCAATGCTGCCACGTTCCATAATGTAGTAGGGCTCGCCAAATTTCCTCAAGGGTATATTAATGCAATGCTGTCCAGGTTTCGTTGGCATAAACAGAAACTGAGCCGTGCCCTCGGCTAGCGAACGCTCGATTGTTTGAGACCATGCTTCCTGTTTGAAACACAAAACAAATAGAATTAAATTCAAATTTACAAAAAATAATAAACAAATTCTTGCGATCGTAGCCAAACTCGGCCACAGAGTAGGGGACAAGCTGTTAACGCTGAAATTGGCTGCATTCGTCGCGTCTATTGTTTATTATTAATTCAATTTCGTTGCCATAATTATGTGCGCCAACCCCCCTTTGGATTCACTAATTCGTTGGCAAGCAAATCACACAAAGGCAAAGCAAACACAAAATCAGTCGCAAATGCGAAAAGCAAACAAATTGAATAAACCAAAGAGACACGTTCGGCCTATACAACAAATGCGAAGTGTTATTGATAACGCCGATAGCGACAATGACGACAGCTTGCGCCTCACATAATATATCATTTGCGGTGTCGCATGACACCAGACGCACAACTGACTGTTGCAGTGAACCTTGAACTTGTGACCGGAACAGCCACTGCAGGCAAGCAACTGCAGCCATTGATTTTTGGCTAGCCCAAGTGCAACGACCCACTGTGCCACCTACCACGAGTCGATCTTGTGTTAATTTCTCTAATGCGCCGCCGGATGCGTTGCGGTACGCCGTTTCTAGAAAGCGCAGCTCCTCGGCTGTGTATAGATTGTCCGATTCTCGTTTGCCACTTGTGTTGCCCATCGTTATGTGATCGTAATTTATAGAAAGTAAACACGCTACTGATGCCTGGTTTTTAAATTGAACAAGAAAAACACAACAAAGACGTAGCACAGCTGTTGTGCAGTGTGACCGCAGGCTTGTAGCATAAAAATACTGCACACTCAATTCGCCGCACCGCAGCCGCTGACCGGTGTTACCATTGCCGCCAGTTAAAAGCGCGGGCTTTTTTTGGCGCGCTCTTCATACACATTCGGTATATTTTGAATCTAATCAATTGCCGTTACTTTGAAATTAGTTTATAGCACACAATTGTGCATTACTTGTGTTTTGAATATGATTATTATTTGAATGTTCACATGTAACACATAATTGTACATAATGTGTGCTTTTTTGAATATGATTATTATTTGAATGTATCCAAAAATTATAAAACAAAATCTCCCGGTATTAGAAAGTCCGAAGGCCGGTTTTTGACCAGGCAACTAAGTTAGAATATCAAATTGAAATGAACTATAATTAAATAACAAGTACTGCTGTGTGGGTAGTAATATGTAATATGTATATATAGACATGCTGATCATACTAACCAACTGAATATATATGTCTGGCTGGGAGAGGTCACTTCCAAATATTGAATCTTTCAAAAAATGTTGGCCATGTACCAAATTTTACTGGAATTCACTTTAAAACATCTTTTTGTATATTTTCTCACGTGACATTAAACCAAAAATAGCAACTTTTGAAATGTGATATCATGTTCCGCTTTCGCGATAAGAAAGCTATTATCAGTGATTATACGGCAATCAAAGTGAAAAAAAATGACAGAAATTTGATTGTTATCGTGCATATAAATTTGGCATTTATCGATCACCTTAAAAATGGTTAGTATAAGGTATAATGGTTTTGGGATGTTTTTTTTGATGGAACATTTTAACACAAAACAATAAAGAGTTTTCGAATCGGAAATGCCTGTGTATGAGATACTGGAACCCCTTCAATACATAATATATACCATGAAATAGCTTCAGTGTTAATGGTCCGCTTTTTATTAAAATCCAAATATGCATCATTTTAGAAGATCAAGCTGAGGGAACCAAAAAGTTATTCGAAATTTACGTATACTTTGTATGAAACTAACTTCCAAATTGGGAGTTTTCTAGCCTTTGCGTTGTGTTTAAAAAACCGTGTCTCAAAATCGATTCCTTGCTATTTAGTTTAATTAATTAATTAATTAATTACGTATATCAAATTTCAAGTCTTCAACTTATGTAGTTTGTGAACAGCCAAAAGTGGCTATATCGATTTGGCTCGCACTCCTGATCAAGAATATATATACTCAATGAGGTCGCAGATATTTCTTTCTGTCTGTTGCATACACTTGCACAAAAACATCATACCCTTTACACCCAATTTTAAAGGGTTCATGGTTTAAAAAGGGAATAACTTAAAGTAACTTAAGGTTCACTTCTGTCAGTACTCGTTGAGCAATGTCTGCGGGATGGACTTACTTTTTATACCCTTTTATACTTAAAAGAAAAGGAGGTACACTTGTTGAATATTGTTGTCAGTCTAAATAAGTTACATTTTGTGTACATAAGCGAGCAGTTATTAAGTTTTTGTAGTAAATGCGGAGTTCTCGGAATTTTGATTCACGATCAGATATCGATTGTTATCAGTGCTCACACGGCTATCAAACTGTAAACATTTTTCACTTTTTTAGATACAAAAAATTATATATTGCATTTCCGCCATTTGTTTTTCAAACTATTGATCGCCAAACTTTGAATTTTTTTCTAATTTTAATTTTATTCTTGACGGTTGTGTTTTCTGCTAATTAATGATTGGTATTTATATTTATATACAAAATATATCTTGGTTAGCAAAGGCCGCGTCCATAGAGTTCCGGCTGCCTGACTAATGTCTGTAAAGTCGCATTTGATCATAAAGAAAACGATCTGATATGTCTTTTACGAACTGGCCACAGAAATTATCGGTCAATCGTTGACTTTTGTATGAAAAATCGAACCCACGAATTACCAAGGATTCTGTGTTATTAACAATTTGTTTGTTGTATAATTTCTATTAATTCTAATCTGTTCTAGCATTTAACTCAATCGGCACAGCTGCTTTTGCGATTGGACATGGGTGACAATTATAATTTAAGCGACATCGATCTAAAGGAGGTAATAATATCTTACTATAACTAACTATAACCTTATGAAAAAAACAAAACAAATTATTGTTTATCTTCAAGGTAATCGGGAGAGGCGATTTTTCTACAGTATACAAATCATTTTGGCTTCAAAATCAAGTTGCGGTTAAAACATATCGCAAATTTAATTACGAATGGGCCAGGAATAAATACGCGCAGCTATCAAGCATTAACCATATATATTCTGGGTCAGCGTCAAAAGCCGAGTCGATCTAGCAATGTCTGTCTATGAAATTGTGTGTGTGTATGCTGTGATAACACAGCGAGGGGTTCAGGGTATCTCCTAGTCGGGCACGCCCGACGAAATCACTGTCACCTGTTTATTCTCATTTTGCAGGGTCTTGCATTTTTACATGGACTGACGCCTAAGCCCATATTTCATGGCAACCTGAAGCCGGAGAATTTGTTTTTGGTCGATAACTGCCGCTGCTTGAAGATCGGCGAAGTAGCCGCTCGAGGATACGCCGTATCAAATCATTATATACCACCACCTAACGAAGAAATATATGCCGAAAAAACCGACATATATAGTTTTGGAATAGTGCTTTGGGAAGTGCTTGCCCGCAGGAAACCATTTTGTGAAAATGAACTATCTTCTATTCCCATTTTGAAATATATTTTTCTCGCTGGACGTCAACCACCTTTGAGTTGTGTTCCGGATGGGCTGGGCTCTAGCAATTTAAAATCGCTAATTAGCAGGTGTTGGGACATCGACCAGAATAGGCGGCCCATTGTGAAAACTGTGCTATTGAACCTCAGCATAATTATCAGGTACATTTTTAACAAATTTCTTTATTAAATTTAAATTAATTTTATAGAAATATTTTTCAACTTGTTTTAAGTTGTAATCAGAGCTTTATTTGTAAACGGAATTTACTAAATTTTTATCTAGACTATATTTTGGCAACGTCCCAACCTTAGAAACACAAGCCACAGATCATATCGGCGATGTAAAATTGGGAGAGGTAATGTTCGCCTAATTTTTTAATTGCATTATATAAGTTAATAAATTAATTTCAGGAAATTGGCAGGGGCGCCTTTGGCGCTGTCTACAAGGCTAAGATGTATGACATTCAATTGGCGCTAAAACGAATTTTTGTAAATGATGCGGATGCCAAAAAGGGCATTGAAAGAGAAGTGAAGTATCTATCCAGCGCCTATCATGAGAATATAATTAAATTTTATTGTACTATGGAAGACAAAGAGTGCAACACATTGATATTGATGGAATACGCAGACTGCGGATCACTCCACAATTACATGTATCGTGATAAAAAACAAGAGCGAAACTATACTCACGTGGCTGCCCTCAATTGGATGCAACAATTGGCTAAGGTAAACACAAATCGTGTTCTTCGTGCAACTAATAAAACTTTCTTTTTTTCCTAGGGTGTTGCTTATTTACATGCCATGAAACCAAAGCCCGTCATTCATCGCGATCTCAAGCCACACAACTTGTTACTTGCGAACAACTTCCGCACCTTAAAGATAGCCGACTTTGGAACAGTCACGGAACAGGCTACTTTGATGACGATGATAATTGGCACTCCCGGCTATATGTCGCCAGAGGTTTGTATTTCTCTAGCCTGAAAGGAGAATGTTAAAGAATGTTTATGAATTAGATTATCAATGCCCAAAAGTACACGGAGAAAAGTGACGTATTCAGCTTTGGCATTGTGTTTTGGGAGGTAATGGCACATAAAAAGCCCTTCTATCACTTGGAATGTTGCTTCAAGTTAGTAGGGGTAAGGGAACATGCAAATTAAATAAATTGTTTTTCAATTTATCTTTCGCTACAGGTAAGCATCCTCCCCTAAAAGATGTGGAAAACTGCCAAAATGCGGAGAAATTAAAAAAATTATTGAAACGTTGTTGGAATATTCTACCGAAAAGCCGACCAACTATGGAGTTTTTGAAAGAAAAGCTGAACAAGCTATATTTACAGAGTTAATATTCCACATACCACTCTGAGTAGTACACATATAGTTTAAGGTTAAACAGCTGGAAGGTACGTTATTGGATAAAAAAAAAAAAAAAAAAAATAATACAAAATCGATACGTACAAAACTGACCGAAACTTGTACTGCAGTTACCTTATGAACGAAGTTTTGGGAGATTCGGTTAAATGTGAAAAAAAAAACGCGTAAAACGGTTGTTTAAAATTTATTGGCTTACCTTTCTATCTGGCTGAAATTCATTTTTAAAGATCTTTAATTCATTCGTTTGAGAGGTGTTATAAACTTTCAGAAAAATCCATGGAAATGTGATATAAGTTTCGAGTACCAAACTATTTCACATATTGCATAAAATCCACGCAGCCGGGTGGAAAATTGGAGCCAAGGATATTTTATGCGACATTTCAAGTTTCGTTCGATGAATACGTTTTTAATGGTTTTACGAATTCCACAAAGTAATAAGAAGAACTCTATTTTGTTTACCATCCGAAAGTTTTATGAACAAATCGATCCTAGGGAAATCTCCTTGTGATCTATCAGTCTGTGAATTTATAAAAGAGTTTGCCTGTTGTAATTCAAATACAAATTGTTATTTCCATTTTCGCACCTTCCCGTTGAACTTTATTACAGTTTTTGTATTTTATAAGCATTTTTTCAATAATGCAAAAAGTAACTTTTAAAAGTGTGACTTCACTTCTTTTATGCAATTCACTCGAGCGCAACTACTTTAACGATATCTAGGTCGAAACTTCTGCACTTATCAATGATAATAGAGTAATCAAACTTTTGACTAATCACAGGAAATTGATTGTTATCATATCTTTTGAGTTGGTATTGCCATCCAGAATGGAAATGAGTAAAAAAGGGTATATTGGTTTTGTGCCAATCATTGTGTCAGGCAGAAAAATGCTACTCCGATCCCATACCCTAGCTGCTACTTCTTTGGTTTGCTCTACATTATGGTAAATAAGATCGATGCTTATTGTCCGATTTTTTTTAACAAAATCCCAAAGCACAAGATTTAAGAGGAATAGAGGAGATATCCAAAAAATAAATGATGTTTAATATGAATATACTATTTATATAATATGAATATACCATATATATATCTTATGATTTATAAGTTATGCTAAAAAAAAACAGCTCTCAAGGGTTACTTGCACAAAATATCATACCCTTTTTACCCATTTCCAAGGTATGTGGTCATTAAAGTGCCATCGACTTAAATTAAGTTGACTACTGTCAGCACTAATCGAATACCTGGGCGATAAGTTAAGTTTTTCACCCTGTCGAAGATAGTTTTATTTCTCCGCCACCGGAATAGGTCGGAATTATTTTAGTTATTCGTGCACAAGTGAGCTGAACAGACCAATTATTCTGTTTTGTATTAATTTTCTTCTTGTTAATTCTAACGCATGATCCTTTCTGATATTTTTGATTGTTAGACGTGCTCGATGCCTATTAGAATTGTCATTAAGTATAATGCCTAGAAAACCAGACTAAAGGCTTGAAATTTAAAATATAAAGTCTCTCATACCATTTCCAAATCAAACTCACAATTTATTTTGCGATATTACGTCTCATTTTCATAAAACGGAACATAGTCGATTTTGATCAAACCAAGTTTTATTCTTTGGCTTTCGTATGGTAAAAATATATAAAAACCGCATTAGTTTTGAAAAAGTCGAGAACACTTTATATAAGTTTGCATGTAAATTATGAACAATTAAATTCATATATTTTTGAGTTTATTAATTATACCTTAGGCCCATTGAATATGGGTAAAAACGATATTACAGGACATCCTATGGCACGCACAGATCAAATTGAAGAAGCTTCAGGGTACCTGTTAGGTGATAACTTCCGGCTGAAAAACTCTTAATTGTTTACATTTGTTTTGCTATCTGGCATTCGATAAGCCAGCATTGAACCATGGCTGACTTTGTTGAACTGAAGGAGGTAAATGATTCGTAATAGAAAAATAACTCAATTAACAAACAAATAATCTTTTCTATTTAAGGCTATCAAGAAAGGCAATTTTTCTACAGTGTACAAAGCAATTTGGAGTCATAAGCAAATTGCTGTAAAAAAATATCATAAAAATGTTGAAGACTTTGAATGGGTCAGGAATAGATACGCGCGCCTGTTGAGCGCTGACCATGAGAATATTCTGAAGTTTTATGAGGTTTCGGAGTCATCAAACAAAGAACTGTACTTGTTTATGGAATACGCAAAATGCCAATCCCTGGATACCCATATTCATGGGCCAGAAAGCCAAAAATATTCTATAAACGTTGCGATCCATTGGATGACCCAGTGTGCCGAGGTATGTCTCATTTATATCATCATCATTTTAGAGTTCATTCGAAATATTTGCTGTCGAGCACATTCGACTACATTTATTGAGAAACTTTTTCATTATCGCCCTGCAGGGTCTTTCATATTTACATGGACTGGCGCCGACGCCCATATTCCATGGCAACGTACAACCAAAGAATTTGTTTATAACCGATAACGCTCGCTGCTTGAAGATCGGTGAGCTAGCAAGTGGCAATGCCAATGTATCAAAACATTATATACCACCTGAGGCAAGATCATATATCGACCATGAGGGATTCGATGATGCGCCCAGATACACATTAAAATATTACAGCGAAAAGATCGATGCATATAGCTTTGGAATAGTGCTTTGGGAAGTGCTTTCCCGCTGTAAACCATTTTGTGAAAATGAACTGTCTTCCTTTCTTGGCCCTCAGAATGTGCAAAATAGGTTTGGTATTAAGCTTCAACCACCTCTAAGCTATGTTGCAGATGTTTTGGGCTCCAGCTATATAAAATCGATCATTGCCATGTGCTGGGACAGTGACCAATATAAGGGGTCTATTATGAAGACTGCGTCATTGAGCCTCAGCAAAATTATCAGGTGCTTTTTCTACCAACTTATTTATTACATTTAATTTTTGTACCCTGAATTCGTGTTAAGGTATGTAAAAGGCGGAAGGAAACATTTCCGACATCATAAAGTATATACTTATTATAGATCAGTCCATCTAGCCATGGCCGTCTGACTGTCCGTATGTAAAAGCGCGTCGATTAAAGAAAAAAAGTTAGAGACTTGAATTTTTGAATGTTAGTGATCCTATTTCCGATATCCGATAACTTGCCTCATTTCTAAGAAATCTAAAAGAATCGATATCGATTTTAAATTTATTTTCGTTGCACTAGCTCATCATCTCCAGATTAATTTGGCATTCAAATCTGAACACATATTTTTTAGTTGAATTTCATGCCAAAATCTTACCCCAAGATTCCTATATAGACATGGGTCAAAATTTCCCAACCCCATTACTTGGTCAAATCTCATCCGATTTTCACGAGGTTTGGCTTTTACTTCATAGTTTTCCCTCTAGATTAATCAGGCATTCAAATCTGAACACATATTTTTTAGTCGAATTTCATGCCAAAATCGTACCCCAAGATTCCTATATAGACATAGGTCGAATTTTCCCACCCCCACAAATTGGTCAAATCTCATCCGATTCTCACGAGGTTTGGCTTTTTCTTCATAGTTTTCCCTCCAGATAAATCTGGCATTCAAATCTGAACACATATTTTTTAGTCGAATTTCATGCCAAAATCTTACCCCAAGATTCCTATATAGACATAGGTCGAATTTTTCCACCCCCACAAATTGGTCAAATCTCATCCGATTCTCACGAGGTTTGGCGTTTTCTTCATAGTTTTCCCTCTAGATTAATCTGGCATTCAAATCTGAACACATATTTTTTAGTCGAATTTCATGCCAAAATCTTACCCCAAGATTCCTATATAGACATGGGTCAAAATTTCCCAACCCCATAACTTGGTCAAATCTCATCCGATTCTCACGAGGTTTCGCTTTTTCTTCATAGTTTTCCCTCTAGATTAATCTGGCATTCAAATCTGAACACATATTTTTTAGTCGAATTTCATGCCAAAATCTTACCCCAAGATTCCTATATAGACATGGGTCAAAATTTCCCAACCCCATAACTTGGTCAAATCTCATCCGATTCTCACGAGGTTTCGCTTTTTCTTCATAGTTTTCCCTCCAGATAAATCTGGCATTCAAATCTGAACACATATTTTTTAGTCGAATTTCATGCCAAAATCTTACCCCAAGATTCCTATATAGACATAGGTCGAATTTTCCCACCCCCACAAATTGGTCAAATCTCATCCGATTCTCACGAGGTTTGGCTTTTTCATCATAGTTTTCCCTCTAGATTAATCTGGCATTCAAATCTGAACACATATTTTTTAGTCGAATTTCATGCCAAAATCTTACCCCAAGATTCCTATATAGACATAGGTCGAATTTTCCCACCCCCACAAATTGGTCAAATCTCATCCGATTCTCACGAGGTTTGGCTTTTTCTTCATAGTTTTCCCTCCAGATAAATCTGGCATTCAAATCTGAACACATATTTTTTAGTCGAATTTCATGCCAAAATCTTACCCCAAGATTCCTATATAGACATGGGTAAAAATTTCCCAACCCCATTACTTGGTCAAATCTCATCCGATTCTCACGAGGTTTGGCTTTTTCTTCATAGTTTTCCCTCTAGATTAATCAGGCATTCAAATCTGAACACATATTTTTTAGTCGAATTTCATGCCAACATCTTACCCCAAGATTCCTATATAGACATAGGTCGAATTTCCCCACCCCCACAAATTGGTCAAATCTCATCCGATTCTCACGAGGTTTGGCTTTTTCTTCATAGTTTTCCCTCCAGATAAATCTGGCATTCAAATCTGAACACATATTTTTTAGTCGAATTTCATGCCAAAATCTTACCCCAAGATTCCTATATAGACATGGGTAAAAATTTCCCAACCCCATTACTTGGTCAA